AAAAAAAAAAAAAAAAACAAGAATCATCCAAAATGAATCATGTAGCCTGCCAAGCAAGAAATTTTGCACTTATGTGCCCATACTCTTTCGCGTCCCGTTCGATGTATGCATCTATGTATGCATCTATGTTCTATGTATGTACGTGTTGCTGTGCCCGCCTTATGCTTCTCTATGGTCAGTGACTGTGTGATGGTTTTCTTCAGGGACTTGCAATTTTCCTGCTGTGAGTCATTCATGCCAAAAAGCGACCGCTCCACTTACCCGAGGGTGGGGTGAGTCAGTGCGGTCTGGGGTAAGCGCGTTTGTGAGAATACCCGGATTTTCTTCCGGGAATACCCGCGCTTTCTGCACGGCTTCTATACTCCACTGCTCAATATGAGCAGCGAAAAGCGTCTTTGTTATAGCAGTTCTGTTTTCGCCTGCCATCTTAGGTATGCCGCGGCTTGTCGTCCGCTCTGCGTAGATTGCTGTTTTATTCCAACACGCGTGACTTGACGCTGCCTCTCGCATCAGTTTTTCAATAGTGCAAGCTGAATACCTTAGGACTCCTTAACTCCGATGCAAGGTAGAGACGTCAAACATGATATACGGTCCGACCGTGAAAGCCGTTGGCTTAGAAACAGCCCGCAGTGACATTCCCGGGACATAGATTCTTCCGGGATAATGCAGGCTGCTTTTCGAACTGCTATTATTGAGCCAAAGCGTGCTTTTTAATGGAACTTCAGAAACACCCAAAATACGGTGCTCTCGGGAAGCAAGATTTGTTGTCTCCCTACCCGTTGTCTCCCTATCTGTTTTATCCCTATCCGTTGTATCACTATCCGTTGTATTCATCCGTTGCTTGGATTTCAGAAAAATTGTAAGATGAATCACCGGCAGTGAATATTCGCTTTATACAGTCTTGCCGAGTTCCCTGTCTCCATAGATGAAGCCTCTCAAAAGCCTTGCATTCTACCTGCGAGCATGCGAGTCCCAGACCTCGTCCAACATGTCAGTCCGGTTGGAGCGAGAATAGAAATGTGCTTCTTTCAAAATCCAAACACCACACAATCCCGCAAAATCTAGGGCTGTAGAATTTTTTGGATTTTGCAAGAGGCGCCTGGGGTTTTGAATAAAAACGTTAAATTGCATGGCATACTGGCTGCGCTCACGTGCCACCCGTGGTCATGTTCGCAGCTTCCCATGCTTTTGCTCGCCTCACGTGCCGACTGTCTTAAACACTCCACTTTCTATCAAATATGGCCAGTGGTGCACCAGGTATGTCCCACATTATATAACCAGGCTGACCCCGATATTGTACTGACACGCCAGGCGGCAATTTTAGAGCATGGACTCCAACCCCACCCGAGAGAGGCTCGTTTCCATTGGATCATCTCGGTGAGTGCAAGCAACAGATGATGGATTACCTTAAATGTATGAAGTTCACCGAAAACAAGAACGCTCCAAACTGCCGGGCGTTAGCCAAAAAATATCTTGGCTGTCGCATGGAGAATGAGCTCATGGAGGATTCAGATTGGGTCCTGCTTGGTCTCGTCAATTTACCTGGAGACACCGTCACGTCTCACCCGATGTCGCAGAAATCCGAGACAAAAGAGACAGAGGACAACACCTGACCCAGCCCATCACAGGGGCATATCTCTTCTTGTAAATACATTCGATATTATTTCTTTTTCAGTCACGTACGCTATGAACAAACCTAGTGACAACCACTAGGCGTGGGTTCGCGACTACTCCAGCTTCTTCGCCTGGCCCCTACCTCTTCCACGAAATGTACCTCTTCCGCCTCTCCCGCCTCTGGCGCCTCTTCCAGAACCTCTTCCTCTGCCGCCCCGGGCCAGTCCATCACCCGGTGACACAGACCGCAGGCTCTCATCCGCATCGCTGGGAGCCTGCACAGGTGCAACTGGGGGAGGGGGAGCAGCCATTGGTTGATGATGTTGCTGCTGCATAAACTGAGGAGGCAACGGGATTCCTGGAACAACGGGGATCGGGTGACCTGTCGGAGTCATCAATATGGGCACAGCGAGCTCGGGTGGAAATGGGCCCGAAGCTGGCATACCACCAACGACCTGGCCTTGGCCCATCACATTGTTGTAGATTTGGCCATAGATTTGTTTAACGGCCGCATTTTCATGACCGCCTTCACCGCCATTTGACTCCATCGCTTTCGCGTCAGCAGCTGCTTCATTTTTCTCGGCACTCTTGACTTCAGATTTGCCACTTCCTTTCTTTAATAAAGCCAAAATCTCATTGGTCTGCTTAGCGTTTTGCTCTTTAGCAGCCGCTTTCCCTGCCTCGGTCTTCTTGAGGTTAGCTGCCTCGGCTTTCTTGGCCTTGGCCTGTCTTTCAGCATTGCTGACGGTTTTCTTGTTCTTGGAGGCATTTGAATGATAAAGAAGTTGTTTGTTGGTGATGTTTAAAACCAACGACGAGTCAACAATAGTACCTCTATTGGTTCTTAACTTCCCGCCCATGTTGTTGCCACCAACAAGTGGAACATCAAAGACAACGGACAAATAGGTATTTCTTCCCTCGGCTGTGATACCCACAACTGTACCTTTACTCAACTTTGGAACTTTTCCAGACTCCTGGACATAGATGATTCTGTCGCCCAAGTCGAATCTTTGAGCTCTCAACAACTGGTAGGAAGTGTTTGGATTAATCACAGCCTGGGTTGGGACGCCCTTGACATCTTTCTTATCCAAAGGCAAAGGCTTGCTGATGTACTCATCCATGAAGTTTTCAATGGCGGTAATGCTGAATTTAGTCAATGACTCAGACTCCAAGGAAACTTGATGCATATCAGCCTTTGCTTTCTTCACCCATTGACAAACAGCCTTGATCTCAGTATTGTTGCTAACTTCAGAAACAGTTGGCATATCGTTTTGGTTTTTCAAGTTCTGTAAGGTACTGAAAAACTTGGGAAATTTGGCTCTATATTCCTTGATCAACTGGATGGTCAAAGGAGAAAACTCCCAGAATCTTCCAGACTTTCTGGAGTATCCTAAAACCTTGATGCGACGGCTGTCGAACTTAATATCCAACCCAACATTTAGCTTGCTTCCTCCGTCTTTCACCATGAAGGATCCGGTGATTTTGGACAAAAAGAATCCTGAAATCTTCAAAATTTTTGCCACTTCGAATGACGGCAAGTATCTTATCTCCTTGTTCTCAATTTCAAATCGCTTTTTGCCAATGTTTGGCTCCAAAGTCGACAGGATCTTGTCAATTCTGATATTGAGCTTTTCAGGAGGCGTGTGGCCGGCAATGACCGCAGGTGCACCATAAGCAAAAGCACCCAAAAATACGACGGGAAGGTCTTTTGGGAATTCCTCTTCAATAGGAACTGGTCCCCTACCAGCATATCTCGGATCTTCAGTCCTTACAGAGTCAACAATGAGCTGCATTGGGAATGGCTCCAATTTCTCGGAGAAAGTCTTTGCATAAGCGCCCCTTTGGGTTCTAACCAAACCCGTGACTCTCTGCACGAATACAACAGCCTCAATAGGACCGAGTATGATACCCTGAGTTTTCTTGTATTCGGCAGACAAGCTCTTGGTGTTGGTGCGAAATTCGATTAACTCGCCAGGTGTCAAAGGCTCGGAGTTGACTTTCCTTTCATTACCTTGCTTGTAGAACTCATGTTTGTACTCTGAGTCCCAAACTGAGACCACTTTCGACTCACTGAGAAAAGGCCACTTGCTGTATACAATCTTGCCCAAAAACTTGTTAATAAATTGATTAACAGAGAACTTCCCCCAGTGGTTACCAATCGTCAACATCATAGACTCTGATCTCGAAGGAGCATTGAACACCTTCACTTCCATTAAAGCCAACTTAGAAGAAAAAGGCAAGGTATAAAGAGTGGGGAAACCAGCCAACAAGTCTTTACCCAACCGGGCACCTTTTGGAAGTTTAAATTTGAAGTCCGGGTCGATGTGGGGAAGGGCCAAAGTCTCTTCATAGCACTTGTCATGCTCAAGGTCATGGTAAAATCCTGGAAGCGGAGTAGGGTACATGGAATCATTTTGAGGATTGTAAATGAAAACAATGTCTCTCCCATAAGAGTTTCGCTTTGTCTCTTCAGCATTAAGTTTTGCCTCAATTGGCTTCAAAACTTCAAGTAAGCGTTTTTCGTCAACAAAACTCAACAAGACAACTGCCTCCCAAGAAGCTGTTTTACCGTTGAGATCGACGTCAACTTCTTCGGGATAAAAGTCGATGATGGGAGACCGTTCGTCAGTCATCAATGACCTGTAAATGTCTGGAATTAATTTTCTAGATCTGGCTGGCAAAACCGCCATCAATTGCTCAAAAGGCTTGAAAGGCTTGGCAAGATCAAATTTGATATCAGTCTCGTTCTTCGCGATCATGTCATTTATACCTTTGTTGATGTCAGAGATTCTGGGGGAATAGTGGTATTTGTAGTACCAATTCCAAGAAGGACACCCCTTGTAGTAATAGTACAACACCCATTGCAATCCTTCGCAATAATGTCTGGTGAGAGAAATCATTTCGTTTTCATCATTAATGGAGAAGTGTAATTTCGCCTTGTAGTACTTGTCCTTTGATTCGACAAATTTCTGATTGTAGATGTCCTTAGCTTCTTTCATCAACTCATCGGTGGCAAAAATGTTTGCGGATTGATAATTCTTGATTGCCTTCCTAATCTCGGTAACCCGACTCTGGTAATCCTCCTCGGTTTCGTAAGGCGAGATTCCATCCACATCAACAATTGCCTCCCACGTATCGCTGGACCGTGAGTGCAGTAAAAGAATGCCCGTCTCCAAAGCCAATTTCTTAAGGAAGTCTAAGTTCTTGGAGGCCAAGTCTGCAGGCAAAGTGAAAGAAGGGAGTTGCCCCTGATTTGCTAATTCAGTCAACTCGGCAATAGGTTTCGTGGCGGTGGTTAAAAACCAGTCTTTAAGGATTTGTACCAAGACTTTTTCTTCCTTCAATATCAACGATTTTCCGGTACGCTCTCTCTTCTTTTCTCCGGTAATAGAGATATCCTCAAGCCTCTTATTGAACCATTCGACATCGACACTGTCCTTCTCGAAATTCTCAAGCTCAAACTCCGACAAGTAATCAAGCCAAACGGACAAGCGCTGGAAGTTGATCTTACCACCTTCATTGAGATAGCCATCCATATGTCTGATACTTTGCTTGAAGGCGCCGATTAAAAGCGGGAAGGCTCCCTTGTTGATGTGCAAGTCGGGCAAATGGGGCAAGAAGTCATTTCCGATCACATACATGATCAAGATGAAATCATCCAAAATCCGCTCGAAGTCATACTCGAAGGGGAGCTGACCATCCAAGTCCTGAAACTCCAACCCCATGTACTCCCTCAACAACGATAAATGCAACAAGAAGAATTTCTGATCGTGCACGTCGCCAGACTTTTTACGAGACCGCGGGCCAAAAGTGACCTCCTCTCTGAGCAACGAAAAATGGGGGTCGTGTGTGACAAGCCCCAACACAATCAAGTCAGCGTCCAAGCCGTAAATGCAGTGTCTCATGTTTGCGTTGTAATCCTTCTGAGACTTCATTGCTCGGATGAATTGCATGATTTTGTGCTCACCTTCTCCTGGCACTTCGTGACCCAGCAAGATGATCTTGATGTTGGCCCACCGCGGGTCTTCCGACATCTTCTTGTGAATGAAGTACTTCAAGTTTTCAGTCAATTTAGCCATGAACTCTGTGCCGGGCGTGATGGCATTCGAGTCGAATGGATCTTCTTTTGGAATTTCGGCACCCTGGCTCACGGCCTTGCGCAAGTTTTGCTCAGCCTCATAGGCCGTTCTGAATCTACGAGCCCGCTGCTGGTTCATTTTGGCTCTTGGGGCAACTCCATCAATGGCCATGTAGAATACCTCCTTGGGCTTGATGATGTCAAACAAATGATCAATATAGTTGAAAATAGCCAGATACATTTGGTCCTCGGTCATGCGATGCAATGTGTCATCATCTGAATGTGTACAAGTGTGCAAAATAGAGTTCATGTCGAGGTATAAGTTGTCGAATTCTGGGATGTTGTCCCCAGCTATAAGCTGGGAGATCAACGGCCACCTCTCCGAGATAAACCGAAAAAATTTAGGGATACCTATTGGTTGTTAGTATCCTGTGCGGATTTTTCTACGCGGTGATATGCACATTGGTGGAAAACATACCCATAGTTAATCAGTTGTATGTTAGTTGTGGTTGTTGGGATTGTGGTGGCGTGTCAAACTTTCAGTGAGAATGGACGACGTGGGCCGTGTGCGACTCAAACGACTTGCTAGGATGCGCGGGACCAATTTCTGGAGGCCAGCATACGGAGATGATGGAGTAAAATATTCTTGACATAACTAAGGAATCGAAGTGGGAACAAATAAAAAAATACAGGAGTCGGAATCCAGCCCAATAAGCATGGAAAGTGGGTCTGTTGGCCTCTTTGTTTGCCACTGCCACTCTGCGCTTGGGCCGGAACATCGGGCCTGAACGTCGGGCCTGGCGCCACCATTTTGCCGCTGCGCGCCATCGTGATTTTGAGATTTGCGAAGCACGGTCTTAAGGAGTATTTTGCATAACAGCCATGCGTTTTGCAGAGTCACCACCACTCGGTGAACGTGCGTGAAGCAAACTGTTCACTAGATGCTTTGAGACTGAAGCTTTCTTTACAAGAAGCTGCTTTGTGACTGGAGCTTTCCTCAAAAGAAACTTCTTTGTGACTGGAGCTTTCCTTAAAAGAAACTTCTTTGGGACCGAAACTTTCCTAAAAAGAAGCTGCTTTGTGATTGGAGTTTTCCTGATAAGAAGCTGCTTTGTGGGCAGCTTTCCATATGCACCATGAATTGTACTTTGCTCAATAGTCGTATGGAGAAACAGACGCCATGGAACAAGCCATTAGCTTGCCAGCTCGGTCATGTTGCGAGACAAGCGAAAAGCCTCGAGTGCAGCAACCTGAATTCGTCTGGTCCATAAGTTGACCTTTCCCTGCGAAGCCTGCTTCACCGAGTCGAACATACGGGCGCGCTTTTCAACACTATCAATTCGAGTTTGGTATTTCGAAGCCATCAGGAGGAAGGAGGCTCCCAAACCCAGTGCCTCTGCGGAGATTCGCTCGTACTTCTCCACAAGTGAGCCACGAAGAACCTGGGACTGACGCAAGAACATCTTCTTAAGGTCTTCCGTATTTTCAACCTGGGTGCGCTTCTTGGCCGACTCCAACGCTGTCCGCAACGTTCTGGAGCCGAAGTCCCAACCAATCTGTGAGGCAGAGCTAATATGCTTCCAGCTTTTGACGGAGAAGGTCTTGTACGCATGAAGCGTCTGCGTTGCGAACAGTCCGAGACCACATCTCCATTGCGCCAACCGGGCCTCCATGTCTAGGCTAGCAGCCAAAGCGCTGGCCCTAGCGCGAACGAAACCACGGGCTCTTGAGAAATTTTGTGCAGAGAACATGTCCCGGAATTCGGCATAAGCCTGGGCTGTGCGTAGGCCCTGCAAAGAGTTCCAGGCCACGTTCAAGTGTGTGTTCATTTGCACCGCAAGCCTGCCGAATCGCAATTTCCGTGCCCGCATGTTGTGACCGAACCATCCTTGTTTCTCCTGAATGTCTTCGTAGAGCACCCAATCCAAAGCACCGCGGGTCTTTTCTGAGCATTGGCCTCCTATTGTGGCAAGGAGGTCAAAGGCTCTCTGCACCCACAAACAAACTCGCACACAACTATTGCCTGCCTCGCAACTTCCACTCTTGGACTGTTTGAAAGAGCCCCAGGTCCGAGCGGGGCCCGCGTACAGGTGGCGCGAGACAAGGAGATTGGCTCCAAGCACACCGCCCGCGCATGTTGCAACAACTGCCAAGATTGCGAAGTACACAAGAAGATGCTCTTGTGCCTCCAAAACCGCCACCGTGGCCAACAGAGCAGACCGGAGCCTAGGCTGCGAAAACCGCTCGCAACGACTACGCATCCGGGCCAAAGACGGGTGGAACATTTTGCGCAGTCGGCTCTTCAAATTGACGTTACTTTCGCGGAGGCTCTGCAGGCCGCAGGCCGCAGCCCGGCGCGCGGCGCTATATGGGGCCAAAAGTTGCGCGAGCCGCAGAGACCATGGGGCCGCTGGGGCCAGAATTGGCTCCGCGCCGCCAGGGCCGCGGTCGCTGGCGCCATTTGCGCCCGGGGCCCCGCGCAGGCCCAAACCCGGGGCCCCTCCCTGAGAACAGCCTAAAGAATCCAGAAATCGAGACCCCGCCAGATTGCCCGATTGGGACAACGGGCGAACCGTGGATACACTTGCGCTGGCCATATCGAGCTCGTAATTTTCCGTGCTGTTTTTACCGCCATTTTGGCGGGACACAGACAGGGAGGACGCCAGGTCTTCCTCGTAGTCCGAGGACGAGATGATGGACCAGTCTTCGTCTGGGCTTGATTTCATGAGAAAAAAAAAACTTCAATCAACAGAAAATGGGGACGGAGGCCCAGATTTGTTTTTGGATAAAAAAGTCGGGAAGGCCGTTGTACTGCGGCTGTTCGTGGACTAGACTGTTCTTGTGTCTTACTAGCCGAACACAATCACAGGTGGCAGGTAGATAGTAGGGAAACTGACGCGAAAAGCAGCTTCAGTGCTTTTGCCGGGGTTCTGACTTTTGCTGAGGAGAGAAACGAAAAAGTTCAGGGATGTGCCTGGTCTGGAGAAGTGTTGGTGGGAACGTTAATAAATGAGGACGGGCTCCTCAGATAGGGAGGTTCTCTTATAGGAAAGCCCAGGGGGTCACGTGGACAGCTGTGCGGCAAGTGGGGGCAAATGATAAGATACGTGGACCCATCCGCAGGACCCGGGGCAGCTGCGAACGGATGCAGAGCTACACTCTGTCGCATGCTAACTCTACTAGATACGTATGCTAAATCTACTAGATACGTATGCTAAATAGCCACGAGGTAAATATGCTGAATATCTACTAGATACCCATGCTAAATACCCACTAGGCACGCATGTTACATCTACTTGGTTCGTTTGCTAAATATCTACTAGGTACGTATTCTAAATAGCCAGTAGATACGCATGTTAAATAGCCACTAGATGCGTATGCTAAACCTACTGGGTTCGTATGCTGATTACCCACTAGGTTCGCATGTTATATCTACTTGGTTTGTATGCTTAATAGCCGCTAGGTACGCATGTTACAACTACTCGGTTTGTATGCTAAATAGCCACTAGATACGGATGCTGTATAACCACCAGGTAAGTATGCTACATCTACTAGGTACGCATGCAAAATACCCACTATGTAAGCATGTTACATTTACTTGGTTTGAATGCTAAATATCTACTAAGTACGTATGCTGAATAACTACTAGATACGTATGCTCTAAGTACGCATGCTAAATACCCACTAGGCACGCATGTTACATTTACTTGGTTTGTATGCTAAATATCTACTAGGTACGTATTCTAAATAGCCAGTAGATACGCATGTTAAATAGCCACTAGGTGCGTGTGCGAAACCTACTGGGTTCGTATGCTATACTCCATCGACAGTGTGTCGTCAATTCGAGAGGCGCCGGGGACTCCGGGCCGGCTTTCAGAAAAAGCGCCCTGTTCTTCGGTCCCCAAATCCTGACCACTAGGAGCGATGTGTTTGTGGGAACCTCTTTCTCCCCGCCTCACTTGGCGCTGGCCCTCTTGCTTTTCTTCTTGGCCTTTTTCTCCTGGCGCTTCTGAAGCTTGACGTTGTTTTTGTTGTCGCGCTTCATCCGCTCTTCGAGCATCTCCATGCGCTGCTCCAAGCTGAAGATCCTCGTTTGCAAGTTGTTGGCATGATTCTGCAAGTCGTAGTAGGTGTCGGCCCGCACAAACTCCGGGCCGAAATTGTGGGGGCCATGCTCCGTGGCATCTGTTCTCATCGAGTTCACGTCAGACCAGCTGGGGTGCACTGAGCTGCTGGGTCTCATCGTGGTGCTGCGGGGCGGGAACTGCGGTGCGTTCTGTTGCCATCCTTCTTGGGCTGGCACGACGGGGCCGTACAGATTTGTCGCGCCAGTATACGGCCCGTGGGGGGGACCCAAGCCCTGCTGTAGCATGGCGTTAATTTGCATGGAGTTATTCTGCGTGGGGGTATTCTGCATGGCGTTATTCTGCATGGCGTTACTTTGCATGGCGTTATTCTGAATGGAATGGGAGTGCAGAAGCTGGTGGGCAACGTACGGGTCGACCGCCGTGTAGTAAGACGAGGGGAACTGGGAAGACACGCTTCTTTCCTCGTCCACCCTGGGCGGGCCCGCGTCACTGCGTGGCGCATCACTGGTGGGCATCGGCGAATTGAAGCTGTTGTCGGGCAAGACAAGCTTGCTCTCAGAGGAAGTCCCCCCACCTCTCCCGGAGCCCGGAAACGCCGTCTTGTTGAGCGCGGCCATGCTGGCGCTCAGCCGATGATACGGGCTGTACGCTTGGTAGTACTCCAGGTTGCGGTGGTCTGGAGGCTGCTGGGATTCGGCCGTATCCGGAAGCTGCTGCGGGGCCTTGGGCCCCGGCGCCAGAGCTGTTTTGTCTTTGGACCCGGCTGTCTGCTTGCGCATTAGCCCCCGCACGATGTTCTCGGACACCTTTTCGCCCTTGTTCATTTGCTGGGCCCGCCACCTGTTTATGTTGTAGTTGGACCTGGCGACATTGTCGTGTGAGTCGCCGCTCACACTGGACGACGGCGCGTGGAAGCCTTTGGTGGACTCGCTGACGGGCCCCGACAAAAGGGGCCGGTCCGCCCCCGAAGACATGGCCCCGGAGTCTGGCTCCGAAACAGCCGTGGCCTTGCCGGTGGTGAGGAGCGACGCCCCCGGGGACCCCGGGCCGAGCGCCAAGATCTGTTCCTCGTCGAACGCTTTCACCATATGGGGCACGTTGATGTGGGCCTTCTTGGGGCCGGGCAAGCTGCGGGCCCTGTCTTCCTCGATCTGCCTAACTTCTTCGATCTGCCTGGCTTCTTCAAGCTTGGACGCCTGGTACGACGACGAGGATGTGTTGCTGGTTTGCGTCCGCTGAGGACCCTCGTCGGGCTCCTTCATGCCGGTGCAAGCATGTGGGGAGTTCAAGTGCCGCGTGAGCGCATCGGGCCTGGCGAAGCTGCGGTCGCAGCTTTCACAGTGGAACGGCCTCTCGCCGGTGTGGAGTTTCTCGTGGCGCTTCAAGTCATGGATCCGGCGGAACAGGAGGTTGCAGTTGACGCACCGATGTAGCTTGATGGTGGTGTGGATCATCTCGTGGCTGACCATGTTGTGCTTTCTCGTGAAGCCCTGGTTGCACACTTTGCAGAAGAACTTCTTCGGCAACGCGGTTTTGGAGGTGGGGTCCGAGCCGGCCTCGGTGGCCTCCGTGCTCGCGCCCGACTTCAATCCAGACTCTTCGCCCGTGGGCGGAGATGTTGCCGACGAAGATTGTAAGCGGCCAGAGCTGTCAGGCAGATCCCGGCTCACGTGATTCTGTGCCGCTAGATTCGTCGAGGTGAGCGGGTTCTGGGGGTTGGCGTTTTCGCAGTCCGACGTCTCGTTGGAAGCATCGTTCGACAGCTCGTTTTGCTCGACTTTTTCCTTCGAGTGCTGGTGGGTTTTTTGATGCGAGGAAGCCGGCTTCTTGTGGTCGTTTTGGAACGATTCCGGGGCCGCCGTGGGCGCTTCTTTTGCGGGCGACTTCTCGCCAGCGGCTAAGTCATCTAGGTATCTGATACTCAATCTGTTGGACGCCAGAGACATCTCGGTCAGATATCTATGTTCATCAAATGCAGGGAATGGGTAGTTGAGAAGAGGTGTCAAAAACGAAATGTTGGCTGCTTTCGGCGGTCAGAATATGATGGGCTAGGTTTCGCGATGAGTGTTGGAAATACGCGTATCTGGGTTGCTAGGAAATCTCGGGTTGGCACACTTGTTGAGAATGAATAAGTGGTTTGGAGTTGCTCGGGGCCAAGCGCTCGCTTTCCTGGACCAAAAAAGTCGAGGCGGCTGCAGAATCCTTCATGCGTACGTGTTGTGCATGATGGACCACAGCACCCGGAGTTGTGCAACGTTGACATGCATTACGATGGGTCCAAATATTGCTCGCTGGGCAAGATGCAGCTACGGCACATAGAGTTCAGAGGGTGGCATACAAGGGTCCATGTGCAGATATGAGTCGAGATTCCGCGGGTCGGACTGCACGAAATGTGGCGAGAGCATGGTCTTGCTTAGTCCCCGCCATAGTGAAGCTGGACCACTATCCCAGTTGTGGACTGCAGTTGTGCCACTGTTTGGCTTGTATGGACGACGGGGGGTCCGCAGCAGCAAAGTTGAGAGTAGCTGGTCTGTCGCATGTGCGTTTACGTTCTGTTTGACCGCCCCCCCTGAATACGTCAAAGTCACCACCTACAAATGCCTACCATTGCTGCTTGAAGTTTAAGTCCACTATTCATGCCGTACCCCTGGAAGAGTTCGGGCGCTTCCAAACAAAAAAAATCACCGCTTGTGCTGGAACAAGTTTGGTTTTTCTTGTGTCTAAGCGGTGCTCTCACCTACAGACTCTCCAACTATTTTCCCGGAAAAGAAACGGAAAAGGACTGGTGTGGTCCCCAGATATTGGCGATCGAAAAATGTTTGGTCTTGCGTGACCTTGCGTTTCTCTTGCGCGCGCTGCTGATCGAACGCGAACGAAGCCGAAATATTTTCTCGGTCCCGCATGACAACAGTGTGAGAACTAGACGCTTAGCCCTAATTAATCATGTGACAAATGAGACATTAAAGTTCGCACCACTTACCCGGAACAAATAGCACGACGAGTATATGAAGGGAAGAGAATTCCCTCTAGAGATCTTTTTAGAAGGTCAGTTGACACAAAAGTGGTTTTAGTTTTTCCTAAATAAAGGTTTATTTCCACACGCTAGTACATCATGTCGAATCCGATATCTCAACTGTACCAGTTGGGAACCACTTGTGGACAGGACATTGAGTTGGAATATCCTGTACTCAAGCAGAAATACAAACAAACAGTGCTGAATAACTTCAGGAATTGGTCCGCGCGAATGCTCCCACCAGCCACTGGTGGCAATAAAGTTTTTTTTTTTTTCTGAGCCCAAATTCTTCTGAGGTTCATTTAGACTTTGTCTGAGAACCACGATCTCCATCAGCTGTTTGTTTCTCAAGAGCTTCTAAAACTCGTGGCAAGCTACACTCCTAGAACAATCCTGTGGCGCAGCATGACGTCAGATTCGTTGCTGCTCGCTCCGATTTTCCATCCTCCGCACGAGCGTAAGTAGCTTGCTCCGCAAATGTATCTCGACACTGCAATGCCGGGCATCTTACGAAAATACAGAAGCTTATGTGAACATCTGACGTCACTGATGCTTACACCCTCACGGAGTTGCTCGCGGCGTAGTCAGTGGCAAATGATCACAACCTGTGTCTAACTTGCTCTGGTGCTGATTCTGCCCACATCCACGTGACCTGGAAATATGTCCCACGTAGCCAGTGGACCACGGTCGCTCTTCCCTGAATATTTCATTGCTTGAAATAGGCATTTTTATTTTCATTTTAATAGAAATGCCGTCACCCAGCTAGGTTGGTGTTAAATTTCTAAGGAAGTAGATAAGGCTTAACCTTGAATTTTTTTTATATTCATTTCTTCATATTAGTGTTTCTACTCGAAAGAGTTAAACGATGAAGAATCATAAAGAAGTCATAAACCATCCTAACTAAACCAGATAATTTAAACCGAATGTTTGGTTGAGATGTCATCCCCGTGCTACATTTTAAGAACCCCCCTGGTATATTCCAAAGAATCAAGAAAAGTATAAAGTATAATGAATGTTGATACTTTCAATAACCAACAATACTTGGGTCACTTGCGCAATGTGTCGCAGCAGTATTGGAGGCACAGAAACATTGTTTAACTTAAGGGCATAAATCAACGAGCGGATCTCATATAAGCACAAGACGCATGACTGACCAAATTCTCCGAGTTTTGCTCTGTGGGCAATATAAACCTACACATCGAGCTTTTTGGCACTAAGTCTATTCAGCCACGGTGGCCGAAATCTGCCCCAAAATTGGGCCACGCACGCCTCGGGCCCCCTGACGCCTTGTTATCTAATTAACACTTATCTCGTTGTGCGGCCAATACTCACATCAGCAATTCCAATAGACCCACACATCCAGTGTTATTTGTTTGATAAGTTCTTTGAGGACTTGACCTAAGTTTACTCAACAAGCTGCCACCACTTGAAGCAATTTCCTTCAGCTTAGAGCTGTATTAATCCACGTTCACCACAATCTAAGCCCACGTGGATAACCAGCAGTATTCTCATCACAGAATTCCTACAACATACTTTTTGTTCCCAAGGAATCGAACCCATTAGAGCAAGATATATTACCTGTTGAGATAGAGTCTGAGAGCCTAGACATCTGTGTTTTACTCAAACTATTGACCCCTCACAGCAATCAATTCATTGCCGCTTGGAGATTGCTATTGTCAACCTAGAAGATCATCCACAGTTGGAGCAACAAAACAGTATTACAAAAGAATAGATTGATTTGTTATAGACGCTTGACAAAAAAGCCTGCGAATCAGAAGTTGTTGAGCAGGATCTCTTGTTGGAGTTTAGACCCAGCAATCATTTTGTTTGGATACAACCAATTAGAAACCCATTGCATTTGAAGAGCAGCCTTTTATATAAGACCGACAACCAGGCCAAATGTCGATGATCACAAATAGAAAAAGACCCAGAGGGTTTGGTGAAAACTTTAACCATTCAAGGAAAGCAGCAGCCGCTGACGCTGTTTCAGCAAAGACGGCGAACCGGCAAGGTCTCACCTTCTTGGAAAATTCACAAAATTTTCCCGGAACTGAGAGAACAGCTAACTCCAATCATCACGAAAGCGCTCTCCTCGAAGAAGATGAGTGTGACGACATGTACGGAGAAATAGATGACATATTCGAAGATGACAACAATGACATCACTATTTTGGAAGAACGCAAATTGAAATCAAGCGTTTCTCGCGGAAGACGCTGGAGAAACAACTCCGACTCTTTTTTGCTTCTAGAAAAAGATGTTTGGGAGGCGTATAATATGTTCAATGTCAACAATTTAGACGTGGCAGAGCATCATCTACCTCCGAGCACCGGCATGAAAAAACAGCGCACCAATTCACTTCCTCAGTTACCCCAAGTGAAGTGCATGTATGAGAAAATCCCAACCAATTATATTCTTCAGCACCCCAAGGTGGGTAACGTTAAGACGCACGTGGTGCCTCATAAACTCAATCTCCCACCATGTGACGATGAAGATGGCCACTATGTTATCAAGATTAACGATGTCTTTGCAAACAGATTCGTGATTCAAAAATTGTTGGGACAGGGTACGTTTGGAAAGGTTGTCGCATGCTATGACAAGATCAATAGAGAAACTGTGGCAATTAAAATCATACGAAATATCCCCAAATATAGGGATGCCGCAAAAATTGAACTACGGGTTTTAACTACCCTCAAAAAGTTCGACAATGAGAATAGAAATCACTGCATTCATCTACGAGAGTGCTTGGACTTCAGAGGCCATATCAGTATTGTCACTGACTTGTTGAAAATTTCGTTGTATGACTTTTTGGAAAATAACAAATTCATACCTTACCCGGGATCCCATATTCAAGCAATTTCAAAACAGCTCATCCGATCAGTCACATTCTTTCATGATTTAAACCTAATTCATACAGATCTCAAACCTGAGAATATCTTGTTGCACGACGATTCTTACCAGAGAAAGCTTCTAGGAAGCAGCACGACGATTTCAAGTTTCTTGAGGCTCAACACTGCAAACGAGAAGCGTCGCACCGACAGAGTACCAAAATTTCTGAGAATCCTCAATAACCCACTCATACAGATCATTGATTTTGGCTCCGCAATCTTCAACGACGAATATCATTCCTCTGTTGTTTGCACGCGTCATTATCGTGCACCTGAGATTGTCTTGGGAACAGGCTGGTCCTTTCCTTGTGATATGTGGTCTGTGGGTTGTATTTTGGTGGAACTTGTGATTGGAGAGCCTGTGTTTCGGACGCATGATAATTTGGAACATCTTGCAATGATTGAGAAAGTTGTGGGAGAGAGTATTTGCGAGAATATGGTCAGGCTTTCAAAAGAAAAGGAGAATGAATGCGGTATAAAATATTTCACCGCTGACTCACATACACGAAAGTCACACCAGATCGAGGATTTGGAAAACGACGACTGCTATATTGACGATGACTACATGGACGATAACCTGCTCAAATTGAGATTTCCCACGCCATCAACGCCTGACAAATTCGTGAAGAGCGTTGATCAGCTTTCTCGTATTGATTTATTTGTCAGCGAAAGGATTGGACTCAAGATTAATTTCGACTATTCGTTGAGCACAAACTATCAGAACAACCAACATTTGATAAACTTTGGTAACTTCACATTTTGGTGGTTCTTCATTGATCTTTTAAAGAAGTTGTTTGTCATCGATCCTGATTCGAGGATGACTGCCCGCGAAGCGCTTGAACATCCGTGGTTCAATTTGGGTATAGAAGATGAGGGAACAACATAAAGCCCGATTCCCAGGTAGGAAACTCTTATCATAAAACTGAAAGATTAAAGATTGGTACAGCTTGTTGTTTTACTGACCGGTGCTAACTTTGTTGAGGGGTCGGGATCTTTAAAGCTAGTACTCTCTGGGTGATAGTTATGCAGCATACCTTACAGTGAAAATCATGAATATATCTCAACTTTGCTGGCTTATAAACTTCACAGGAGATTGTAAATTGCAAATCATTATCATCCGCATTTGTGATTCTTTTTCTGCATATATGTGCTTTCTTGATACAGAGGAACATCAAGAATGTAAACCTACAAACCATAGATCATTACTCGTCTTAATGGTGGGCCCTAAGGATTGGATGTCTTAAACAGCGATTTTTGGTTAAGGTGACTAAAACGTAAATTTTTGCTTGTCATGATTTGACCAGAACTGACTAGAATATTCATTGGATGCTAAATGAATTCAATGAACATTTGCTGAACAATCTCTTCTCTAAGTACGCGAGCTGGTTACTCCATTTAAAGCATGTCTTTGGATTTACATTTTGATGTAGCCTGCATTTAGTCAGAGCCAGCAACATGTTTCCCCCGAATTGTGGAAGGAAAGTCGAGGAACATTCTCCCCCCATGTTTTGAAACCAAGTACATGTTTCAAACAATCGCAAGGACTTGCTAGAAGAGCATGTAGCTACAATGACGTAAAATAATGCGGTAAGCAGAAAAATAAATGAATACACAATTTTTGTATTATTCTCAAAATGTACATAGATATTAGATGAGATAAAAAATCGACGGGGCTTCACAAGCCAACAATTGTTGGCTCCACAACATCAATCTTGCATATGGAGACACACGGCTGAAAGTGGACATTGCATGCACGGGTGTATACTTTATACAGGCTATTGAAAATAGCGTGATTTTCCTATTCAAGCGAAGATGTACATATAGCAACCACAGAGAAATGGCAAGCGTGAAGGGATGGATATGATCCTTCAGTGTAGCCAGTATCACACTGAATTGATGTTAGCCTGAACCTCCGGAGCATTAAATGTCCACGCACATATGTGATAGTCATGGGGGCTTACATTCTTCATCAGCCTCATTCTCCGACTTCTATACTGCATGCAACAACATAATGCGTGGCTAGATCGAGGCATTCGCGGGGCACCAGCAAAACAAGCCGCGTCATTTAGCACTGTGTACAAGAATAACGCAGAAAGCGGGCAAGGCGAGGTGCACAATATTATGAATGCCCAGACATATATATCTTGCATGCACGCGTGCTTTATTGTCTTTTCCCAAGCTGGTGTTCGTATAAATTTTTCGGTGGACCATGCCAATCTCTTAAATTCGCTCGTTCCGCTACCCGATTCCCTTTTGTAGTCCTTTCGTTTCAAGTAGCTGAAGATAAACCACTCTTTTTCCAGATTCAAGCTTCAGTGCCACACTCAGGCTTTCTTCCAACTACCGTCCTTCTTTATCCAAAGCATTCCAACTCTTTCACGCCGATGAAATCTTCTGTTGCTCTTATTGCCTTTTTGGCGCTCACCTCCGGCGCCCCTTCACGTGGCGTTCGGCACAAACATCACGATCACAAGCGTGATAACGTTGTCACTGTTATTGAGTATGTTGAAGTTACCGAGTATGCTCCTGGGGCTCCAAGCCCACCGAAAGTTGTAGAATCTCCTGAAGATTCTCACGCTATCCCCGAGGTTCCATCCAGCCCACCTGAGGAGTCTTCTAGGCCCCAAGAGGTTTCACCAAACCCACCTCAAGTTGATAGCATTCCTGAAAAGGAACCGTCCGACATTTCTCCACACCCAACAGAAGAGAATCCCCCACACCCAACAGAAGAGAATCCCCCACACCCAACAGAGAAAGTTACTCCACACGCAACAGAAGAAGCTTTTCCACACCCGACTGAAAATTCTTCAGAACCTTCCGAAGTTCCTCCAAGTCCAACAAAAGACGCTTCGAGGCCTTCAGAAGCTCCCCCAAGCACTGCAGAATTATCCGTTTTTGGCGATCTCGCCGCCTTTTCCGAGCCGCATTCCGAATTCGAGGACGGCATCCATGATTGTGGCACGTTGCCCTTGGGCCAAGGTGTTATCGCCGTGGACTGGATTTCCGGATTGACCGGAGGTTACACCACGATCATGAATCTGAATGGTGATACTTCCAATGTTTGCACAGATGGCTTCTATTGCTCGTACGCGTGCCGAGCTGGTGAGTCAAAAACACAATGGCCGTTTCCGCAACCAGAAAGCGGCATATCCGTTGGCGGTTTGTTATGTAAAAAGGGAAAGTTGTACAGACCAAATACTTCGGAAAAATTCTTGTGTGCCTGGGGCAAGAATTCAGCAAGCTTTGTGTCTCATATCGATCGGCATATCGCCATCTGCCGAACCGATTACCCTGGTTCCGAGAATATGAACATTCCAACATTTTTGAAAGCAGGCTCTACTGCTCCCGTCTCAGTTGTTGATCAAGCGACCTACTATCACACCTTTGAAAATAAGAGAACAAGCACTCAATACTATGTCAATAATGCTGGTGTTTCTCTCCAAAAAGGCTGTGATTGGGGCGACGCAGAATCGAAGGTTGGAAATTGGGCACCATTGACTTTGGGTGCTAGCTTCTTTGAAGGGCTCACGTACTTGTCGTTATCTCCTAACCCAGAGACAGATGGAATCCCCAACTTCAATGCTAAGATTGAAGCTAGTCCCGGGGCCAAAATCGTGGGCTCTTGTTCTATCCAGAATGGTGTCTATTACAGCGACGGAAATGTCATGAAAAACGGCTGTACCGTCACTGTTGTCAGCGGGTCAGCAAATTTTGTTTTTTACTGAGCGTTAGTTGTATGGGATTTTCAATCAGAGACCCCTGTTCTTGGATGTTTCAAGCATTTTTTTACTATGGCTTTGCTGGCCTTTGATACCCCGGAAACAGAATCCTTCATGTGAACAAATGACAGAATGTGTCTGTGCTATATTGAGTCTTTAATGTATCGAGTCCGTTCATTTATTCAGCATATACCGAATATGTAGACTTTAACCAAATGCAATGTTCTCGCAGTAGCTCAAGTTAAGCACCCCGTTTGTGCTGAACATGGCGTGCAATTGGCCCATGGTTTCATCGGGCGTAGGCTGGAAAGAGTTCAGAACATATACGTGGATTGTTTCGAGGCCTAGTTTTCTCATTATGAATTTCAGAATAGCTGCCACTGTTTGTGTTCCCGCGACAGTAAAAGCTGACGGCAGGATGGCCGTTGTAGAGCCAATGGCCAGGAGTCTGACGGCAAGTTTTGATGAGTTATCAGGCTGTCTCACGACCTTATTCTTTTCCACGAAAATTGAAGCTTTCGGGGAAATTTGTTCTTGTCTCGGTGGCCCCACTTCTTGGGCAGGAAAAGAGTGGGTCAGATTTTCTTCAGATGAATCGTCGGGATCAGAATGTAGTAGAGACGACATTATGCTGTGATGCTCTCGAAAGTTCGAAAGGAAAACTGGTGCAAAGATCTTCTTTTTCACTTGGGCCTGTGAAGAAGGTCGATATCAGTGAGGCGTGTTCGGGTTATGAGTATGTCGCATAGTTGGGCACCTTGTTCCGAATTCGAGCACGGGACCACCACTCCAAATTTTCAACGAACAGTTGGCAATTGACGAGCAAGGCCCGTCGGTTGAAAAAGAAGATTATTGAAAGTATTTGTGTATTTTTTTACATTATGGAGGGACCCAAACACAGATCTAATGACTCATCCTAAAAGTGTCTGTGTCTCATTTTGGTCATGCCTTAAAGAATATCAAAAACTGAAATTTCGATAGAAGTGACATAAAAGCATCATTCAAGAGATGTATTTATGGCCCCCTACAATACAATCAGCAGCATTCCACATGTAATTTTTGTTTATTATCATGAGCCAGTCCCCAGGGAAGGACATTTAGATCCGATCCCTTCCATATATCTGCTGAAAGTCAAAATATAGGAAATTTGAATAAAAAGGCGCATCCGCTGGTTCGAGAGATTCGTGTTATTTTGCACATTCGAAGTTGTTTCTTCCTAGTATAGCGATTAGATATGGGCTAATTTTCCCACTGCGTTCTTTGTCGTATATCCCAGCAAGCACCATCCGAACAATAAATTGGAGAATAAGACCTTTTAAGACGGAGAAATTCGGTTCTCTTTATTTGATTTTTGTGATTTTTTTTTTTGGTATTGATCCTCTGTTTCTTTCACAGTGTTCATTCAACGTGGAACGTCAAAGAAAGATCTCACTGCTCTCACAATCAAGAGAATGGACGCGCCGCTAATACTGGATTTCTGCATAAATATAGTCACAGCCTATCCGAAAATGTGCTGGTTGTTTTTTTCCGACTTTTCTTTTTCAAGTTTCGCCCAACTATATCATAGCCTCGCCCCCGCCTTCCTTTTCTCCACACCTGCAATTAAAGTTTGGGTCCCTTATGGTCAGGCCTCCTGTACAATTTCACGCACGCTATTGTCGAACGTATCTCCCATCTCAGTCGTTCTATCTCACAAACAAGCACGACTTCTCCCAGCGAATACTTTGTTACCGTTTGAAGTCTTGCACTTGGAATTTTCGTGGCATATTCTTCAACTTGATTTGCTAAAGTAAAGCCCTGAAGCAAGAATACACAGACCAGAAAGAAGCATGTCTGACTCGGAGGCAGAAGTTTCGCTGGTGTCCAGTGGTGGTACCCTTGAAGCGTTCAATCTAGACCAGATTCTCCAGGTGCTCAAAGACTCGGCCCAAGATGCAATTGAAACCAAGGACTTCTTGTCTTACTCGACAGTGTTGGATATCCATCTCTCGGAACTAGGCAGATTTTCTGCAGACGAAAGAGAAATATTGCTCCAGCAGTTGCTCGACTCCTTGAGTAGCAACCACGAGCTTGTAGCAGAAGTTGGATGGGACATTCCTGCACTTCTTATTCCGTTTGTGGACTCCGATTTTGCCTTTGTTGGCGGGATCCGTGATGCGCCTTGTGTGTACAAGGTGCTCAAGATTTTCGAGGTGCTTGCGCTCCATGGGAATGCCAAGGAGCTTTTCCTCAAATCCACTGAGCTCTTGAGCTCCTTGAAGCGGGACGAACGGGCTGAAAACCCGCTCTTTGCAGAGAAGTTCTACGAAATCAAGCTCTACTGTATCTTCGAACTCATCACGAGCTCGATGCGCCGGGTCCACACGTTGTACCCGTCGCGCTTCTTGGCAATGACCGTCTCCAGCTTCATCAACCAGCTCTTTCTCAATCCGTTGGATGACCCCACAAGCTTTAATTTTGTGATGAAACGTATGTACGGCTTTGCTCGCAATTACGTGTCTCCACCCAAGCCCGAGAAGACCGATTTGCCTGCGGAGGACTTGAAGAAAATTGAAGACGACGAGAACTTCTTGCTGAGGAAGCTCTTGACCGCACTCCTCACTGAAGGCACGTTCATGGCCATGCGTCTCACTTGGATCGGGTTCACTGTCTCTTACTTCAACCATCTTCATAAAATTCTAGTGGTGGATCAAAAGTCTGTGCTGGACTATGAGTTGGACATGCCTGTGTTGAACAGACTCAACGAGTTGGCGCTCTCGTTCGACTTGGCGCCCCATCAGGATTTTGAGGATTTCGTGACCCTGTCTGAAAAATTGGTTGACTTCGATGCTGCCGCAGCTTCAGAGGGCGAGTCTTTCAGCAGCGAATTGTTTGAGAGGCTTGTGGTGGACTATCAAAACTTATTTTCCAACTGCATTGTCAACGCTAAGACGGGTGCGGTGGCCGATTCCTTGGGTGGAAACCTCCTTCTATATACCTACGAAATGAGCTCAAGAAACGCCGTGGGGGCTGCGAACATCTCGCTAAAACAATCCATCGCAATGGCCATCCGCGTGATTGTGCCAGGTATTGTTCATCCTTCTCTTCATCACAGGGGAATGCTTGACTTGGCTGTTTTTTGGTGTTGGCACGTGGTCCAGACCCTATTGAAGAAACCAAAGCAACTCGAACTAGAGTTATCCTCTGTCCCTAAGGTTATTATGGTGACGTTTTTACAGGCCTTGGTCTACGCTGTATCTTCCACGAGTCCAAGCTCGAAGTTCCGGTACGTGACACTCACTTTATTGACAAAGGTTTTGTCTGCCGTGCCGGAAGATGCAGCTTATTCCTTCATCATCAACGCATTGCGTGAGTGTCCTTTCAAAGGTGCCAAACCTGTTCTTGTTGGTGTGCTCAGGGTTTTAATAGTGAGCGATAAAAAGGTTGATGAGCTCAGTGAGACTTTGGGATCGCTAGACATCGGTAAGGACTCTTCTGAGAACAAAAGTGCACCACCGCTTCCGGCTCGTACTCCAAAAGAGAAGACTAAGTTCATCACTCTCACAAAGACTAGAACGGAGGACATTTTGTCCCTAGTCGACCAGTACATCAACTTGACCTTTGAAGAATGTGATGGAGTTACTCAAGTGCATTTTGAACACCTTTCGACGTTGCTGGGTCTCTTGAATCTATTAATCCCACTTCGTCAATCGGCGCTCATTGAGCCAGAAAAGCTCGAGAGGATTACCAACATGACAGAGAAAAACGTGTCCCTGGTGGAGGAGAATTTCAAAGGCGAGGGTCAGAATCGCATACCTCTCAACGCTGTCATGGTATTGCGAGTCGCTCTCACTAGACTTTCAGAATAAAGTGAGCCGTTTTTAAGGCCATATGTATGTTTGGACTAGTTCCTTGGACTCGTTTCTCAATAGCAGTGTATACATCTCAGCTGTTCAAAGTACACACACGTCGGCATTTTAAACAGTGGCCTATCAATAAATCATATTCACAATCTCGAAAGAGTATTTGGCGGAAGGTCAACTGATCGCTGAGAATTCACAGTTCCATATCCCACGATTCAGGATGTTCGACTCCCACTAAATAGCTCAGCTGTTCGCAATCACTAAGTACTAGACATTAGAGAAAAAGAAGCTTTTCGTATATATCCGTATATATATCGCCCCGGGTCGATCTACTTTTTACTTTTCCCATTACCTTTTTTTGCCAGCTGCCTCTCATCCACCAAAGGACCCCAGAAGACAAAAAAACCTTCTTTTGTGGTGGTAATTTCCTCTTCCCATTGAAGTTCCGCATCGTCAATAAATGGATCTTCGTAATCATACTTGCCGACCTTCCGATTGACTTTGGATTGCTGCTGTTGCTGCACCTGTTGTTTTTTCTTCTTTTTATCTAGACCCTCGTCTTTTCTTTTCAGAGAGTTCCCGTTTTCGTCGACGATCATCACCTCTTCGTCTTCCTCCTCTTCTCCATCATCGTCATCTTCAAGCAAATCGTCCATGAGTTCGAAAGCTGAGCGTGCTTCTGGATGCACTGCACTCCAACCGTATTTTTCTTCCGCTAGCTTGAGCACGTTGACAACGACCTCTGCCTGACCTGGCTGTGGGTGCTTCGGATCAAGAAGGGGGATATCCAAGGCTATAATTGGTAGCTGAGATTTGTCTTCTTCATCGGTGGGGCCTCCGGCACCAGCATCTCCATGAGCAGCATCATTTATTGCCATAAAGCTCGGTGCAGGTACACTGACTGCCGACGTTGTAGACTTTGACTTTTCTGTGGTCATTCGGGGATGGATGCTTGGCTTTTCGTGGGACGGCAAGCCAACTTCCGGTGTCTTTTTCTTGGGTTTTGGGGCTTTCTTTGCCTCTTCTTTAGACAGGCGCTTTGTGTCGGTCTTGTTGTCCCTTTTGGTGTCTGTCTTGGCTTCCCGTTTAGGATCCGTCTTCAGCTCGGCATTCAGCTCCTTTTTTGTCTCTGATTTCGCATCCGTCTTTGCCGATTTCTTTGTGGTTTCTGTCTTGGATTTCTTCGCCGCCAGTTCGTTTTTTGGAGACGCTCTTTTTCTCTTTTCCTGCTGGCCACTTCCTTTCGGTCCTTCATTCGGGGCGGATCCGGATTCGTCCAGATTGATGAGTGAGCTTATGGAGGTCCGACTGAATTTGGCCTGTTTGGTTGCTGTGTTCTGCTTTCCAGCAGATGCACGAGTATCTTGCATCGTATTCAGGTCGATGGCCCTTTCCGGTGGCTTGGTGTTTTTCAGAACCGTCTCAGATGGTCCCTCTAAAGGAGGATGAGGGCCCTGGGATTGGTTTTCAATAATAACGGTTTCATTGAAACCGGCAGGTTCAGTCTGTGGGTATGGTGTCGAGACGGGTGTCTCTTCGTGACTTGTGGGACTCAGGGCAGTCAGGCCTAGAAGGCTCTGAATCCCAATAGTGGTCTGGTACTGGGAAACAAGATTGGAGATGTTTGCTGAAGTATGTTTGAAATCGGCTGGACCAGGCAGTGGGTCACTTACCTCGTTTGGTGTGGCTCTATTGGCCATTTTGCTCCGATATAAGGGTCGATTAATGGGTATATATATGGGTCGATGTATGGTCGATGTATGGTCGATGTATGGTCGATATACGGGTCAATGTGGAAATGTGGTGGCTGGTTATATACGTGGGCGGACAGTAGATAAAAGACGAAAAAACCCGGTTTCACCACAGCCAGAGCCTAGAAACTAAAGAGTCTTTTGGTAAGTAAAGAAACGCGAGAAAGTACAGTATTTGAAGTGAGCAGTTTTGCTCTGTGCTGGGTTAATTAAGCGTTTCGCGTTGTGAGGCGCGCGAGGCCTAAACCAGCTTCATTAAAATCACCACCGACATATAGAAATGATCTTTTGCTTTTCTTTCCTACTATTCCTCTATGAGGCAAAAAAAGGGTGTCTAGTCCAGTTTCATCCCGATATCCAGCGGTTAGGACTTGCTCGTTCCAGCAGAGCGAGTGGATCTGTCGTATGAATGAGCAGAACAGACCGTGTATCATGCCTGTGCTTGATACCTCGTAGCAAACAAATATCAAAGAGCTTGCTTTTGTTTCAGGCTCTGTCCAACTGAATCACATTAGTATGGAAACCAAGCTTGCTTAGCGTCAAGCAAGTGTCGCTGCCGTACCCCTCCAACGAATTCATCGTTAGATTGCCATTCCAGTAGTCTGCGTAAACCTTGCACATGGGCAATCCAAGGCCCAATTTATACTTATATTGTCTTGTAGTCAACTGCTCCAAGGTCGACTTTTTTGTCTTGGTCGAAATCTGCTCCACATCGGCCACCGAAGTCTGGTCCAAGCCATTCTGAGCCTCGACGATCGACGAGCCAGCAGCAGTGACCTGCAAGTTCGAGTACATCTGAAGCCCTGGGATTCTGTGGAAGTTCTTGAGTGATTTTCTGGCAAGCTCGGGCAGCTTTCCGAACGACCACATTGACTCGAGCTTGCTGTGACTGATGCCCCCGCCGCGGTCGGAAATCCTGAACACAATTTGCTTCTTCGAGTCTATGATTGTGATTTTTATGGGCGGAAGCTTGCCGCTGGAAACCTTCCCGTGTGTATTGATGGTTGCTTCGAAAGAATTACGCAAGATTTCGCCAAAAAGGTAATGAAGATGAGGAACCATGAACTGGAAGCTTGCATCCACGTCGCCCTCGATGACGAGACCGGGCATTTTGGATTGATCCGGAAAATACCCAAGCATGGACTCCAGCACCAACTTGCCCACCTTTTCGAATTGCTCTCGCGCGTTGCAGTTCTGGAAAATCTCCCCAATGTAGTCGGGAGGGTTTTCCTGGTACGGGTGCTTCTTGTGGATTTCAGTGAGGGACAAATGCTCTTCGACAATGACTCGCCTACTGATTCGGGACCGAAGCATGGAGCTCATAAATAGATCGAGCTCGTGCTGTGGGAGATTCTCGAGAATTGACAGCTCGAGAGCACCCATCATTAGATGCGAGAGGTTGAACACGTGCTGGTCCAAAAGAGCACTGATCACTTTGCAAAACTCGTCGTTCTCGCTGAGCGAGTTGATGGTTCCAATTTTGCGGAATGCGTTGAACAGATGGTAGTAACTTTCGTAGATCTGAGCCAAATGAAAGTTGTTGACCACACCAAACGGGAGCGTTTGCAAATCTCTGATTCTCATGGCCAATCTTATGGGGAGCTCTAGCCGCACGAAGTTGGCAGACGCAAGCACTTTCTGCTTGGTGAGCTTTTTGCCATATCCAGCCAATTGCCGGAGTGATACTGGATGGGGCAGCTTTTGGGAGTATTTCAACAAAACCTCGTTCTGGTAGAAGTGCTGTGGGGTCAAGATATTGGAAAACGACGGGAAGGCCCCCAAATCGTTCATGTGTTCCGCGATATGTTCTTTGCTTACGAGAGAGAGAAATTCCTCGTCGATGTACGAGTGCTTGGCGATTGGAGACCTGTGTTTTGGAGTCGAAAGCTGTCTGGCTTGCAAGGACACTTGCCTAAAAGAATTACAACCTCTAAAAGCCATTTCGCATTAAAAAGCTGGACGTTTTCTTTCACTTGAGCGGGGTTGGTAGGGTAATGGACAGATAAGGCTATCACGTCCGAGCTAGCTGAGAACCAAAGTGCGAGTGATCTGGTGGTCAGTCACTTGAGTCAGAAGCGCCAACGCAAAGTTCCTTCGAAGCAATTATCTTGTGAAGATGGAAGTGATCCAAAAGTAAGCTAAAAGTGGCGGTCAAGAATGTATGTGCTTGACGACCAGGTGGTGTTTGGGGCGGACGATAGAATGCGCATACAGTACTCCATTTTATTGGATGTTGCAATCTTCTGAATGTCTGCAATCTTCAAAGTGTTCTATAATACTTAGATCGTTATAAAGCAGGCTTGATTGAATATGTTTCATGGTGGTGCAGAATTGGCAGTATTGATTGAATGTTGCAACTTTGTTGTTGTGCAAGGATTACCAAAAACAGAGAGAAGTGAGACTTCTTAGCAATTGTCATGATTTGGACGCTCGATTCCAAAAACCTCGAAAGAGCATTGTCCAAATTTCTCGACCTGCTAACAATTGTGTTAGAAATAAAAAACAAATACCATCTTTTTTTGAGTATAAACTTAAATCTATGTGCGTTAGGATCACCAAAGTCATTAACGGAGGCTTTGATACTACTTAACATCTCACGAAATGCTCGAATGGTTGCGTATCATCATGTGATGCCCCATGAAAACGACCAAAAATTTGCTTCTTCCCCTCAATAGAAATTAAATCTGTCAGTCAAAAATCCCAGGTAATGTCTACATTTGTTCAAATTATTAGTTATACCATGGTATTTAATTCATGGTACGACTTCCAGTACAACAGATCGAGCACAACAGATCCGGTACAAAAAACCAATACACCCAGTAAAAATTTCAAGGCTACCAGTAAAAAAAGAAAATTTCCGGCCAAACGACTCGAGGCTGTGACCCGCTACAAAAGGCCATATGACAGAAACAAATGCATTCGAGGCAGTGGGATCTGACCCTTTTTACCCAGAGCACGTGACCCGAAGTCGGCATATATGCACAACTGCTGGCTGGACCACGCCACTCTGCAGGTCGCGCCAGCCACCCCAGATCAATTACTTTGCCTAATTGGGAGACCCTCTGAAAGACGTCGTATTCCTTCAATTGCCCCAGGTTGCCTGGACTTTTTACCTAGAGTTATCAAGGCTAGGAAAACCACGGTTTCAGTCTATGCTTTTTTGATCAGCGAGCTGCCTTTTGTCATTGGAGATTCCAAGCAAGAACTACACCAGTAGACATGAATGTTTCCCGAAATGCCTACTACACATCCGAATATCTCAAGGATCAGCGCTATGGGCAAGAAAAAGTGTTAAAGATCCAGCCAGGGGCAGTTCCGAGTCACGTGGCACCACCAGATCTGACGAGGTGCCGACAGCAATCCACTCAGCCGAAGTTTCCTTGGCCAGAAACACAAGCCCAATTTGCCAATCGAGCAAAGCCCCGAAAAGGACACGATGATCTTGACAGCCAAATGACCCCCGCACAGCTAAACCACATAGCTCTAAAAACTAAGCAGCGGCGAGATTCTCGGTCCCTTGTGGACTACCAAGATTATTATAGCTCGAGACATGCACGTGGAACAAGGAATGTACCACAAAGCACTGGTACCGTAAAACATGGCAACACCATGCTGTTTCTGAACAATGCAGCCGAGACAGAAAATAGAAACATGGCAGAATACCCATACAATGCTTACGATGGTGCATTTTTCGAGGGTGACGACACTTCGCTGTATGCGAATCATGGGCGATTTTCCGCCCCCATCGACCTTCAGAAGCAACATGGGAGGGCTAAAAGCATAAAACCTAACCTTACCCAAGAAAGGCCCACGGACGTGTACAATGCAGGAAAAAACGGCCGATCGAGTCCAATGGATGTTGTGTTCGAGGACCCCAGTAAGCGAGACTTGACCAAGAAACAGAAGGTCACACAAGCCTTCAGGCAGATGAAAACCAAGTTGGGGAGAACCGAATATGCTCACTACGACTACAGCCAGGGCATGGCGCATGATGAGCCCGAAAGCTTGGTTGTCCGAAGCGAATACGGCGACCCGGAACTGGACGAACTGTCCCCAGAGCCAGGGGATCAATTTCGAGACCAAGGTGAGTCCGGGCTGGCCTTGAGGCCGCACGCAAAAGAGAACAACGACTCAGACGACTGGCGCTCTTCTTTTTCTGGGGTGAAAGAAACGATCCACGGTGAATGGAAGAGGCTTCAAGCTTCGCTGGCGTCAGATGTTCCGAGGAACGGCGGCGAAGGACCCAACGGGCGATTCACACACGGCCATTCAGAAGATGGTCCTCATGTTCTGTGTGAGAACGCAGCCCCCAGGATTCCGGAGGATACCAATGGATTCAATCCGTTGTGGAGCTACATGCTTTCATGGCTCGTATATCAATCGTGCGACGGTGCCGCAGATACGAGTGAAGGGAAAATCTCCGAGATTCGGGACGAAGACGAGAACACTACATCAGCTCCAGCCCGGCAGCTTGAGCCTTACAGGAGCACCGGTGGCGAAGCTAAAAATCCAGGCGAAAGACGCCTCAAGAGAGTTGGCAAGAAATACAGAGGCATCTTGCTGAAATGGAACCAGCCTGCGCTGAGCCGAAAGAACATGGTCAAGACAACGGCACATGGGATGGTCAATAGGGACCACCGTTTGGATGTGGCTGAAAGCGGGGTGGATGCCGAGACTGTGCCCAGCCACGAATGCGAAGCATATGAATCGGACCTTCCGGGCAGCCCCATGGCCACTGCACAATTGCATGAGGGCTCGCCGACCGTGATCATCTCCAACATCAATAAGCTCATCAAAAACATCAAGATCATGCGGATCCTTTTTGCGCCGATCGACGTGGTGGCGGAGAATTTCCCCCGGCTCCAGACGTTTGTGATATTCATCGAGCTTTTCATCTTCATGTGGATCTTGTATGAGCTTTCTCTACTCATTGATGCGTTATGCATGGCGGTGAAGGCGGTGTGTGCTCCGATGATTGCCGTGGGGAAGTTCATGAATCGAATAGTGTGACAGGCCCGCCAGTGCTCTTTCTGTCAGCTTCAAGGTTTTTTTAGGGATTACTTGATTGAAACTATTGAATGGGGGATCCGCAACGTGTGCTTATTCAACGATTATCCAACGAGAGGCAGCGAGTGTTTATTGATGAGAGATATTCAGCGAGTGATCAGTGGGGATATTCAGAGAATGGTTTAGAGGGAGAGATTCGACGAGGGATTTTTCAATGGGAATCCTCCAGTGGGAAATGACCCAACGAAGTATTATCAACGAAATACCCTTCAACCCCACCTATAACAAGAGATACTTCAACGCGATTTTCGATGAGAGTGATTACTGGATGGCGTGTCTTGCATCAGGACAGAGTTAGCCTGAGACTCCAAAAGTAGGTTCTTGACCAAACCATATGGCCCCATGAAAGCGTTTTTGCCCTTCCAATTCACGCACTCAATAACAGCCTGTCTACTGGACCCATGGGCGCAGATGCAGAGTCGCACCCAATGCGATACTTCGCAGCTCCAGCCTCCAGTTCTGGAGTATCTTCGTTTTAGAGCAGATGTACAAACTGCACCCCCACTCGGTGCTCCGTGGCACTGGCGGCTACAACAGTCGCCATTTGCAGCAGGCGTTGAAAAAGAACAGATCTTTTTTCACCACGCAAAACATCTTGCAGAAGCCGCAGGATGCCGTGCCCCAGGTCAACGGAAAGAAACTTACACCACAAGAGGCCAAGCTCGAGGCAGCAAAACTCGCCATGAGCTCGCTCAAAGAAGTGGGGTCGCTTTTCTCCTCGGGTAACGATGATGCCGTGCAGCCCATCGACTCGAGCCCTGTGTTCGAGAACCCGTATGTATTTGGGACCTTGAATGTGGTCCACCAGGGCCAGGTGGCCAAGGAACTCCAGGAGAAATTTGACGGGAAGTGGTCCAAGTTGACCGACAAGGACAAAAGGCTAGGGTACTACATAGCGTATGGAAACTGGGGCGTGCGGGAGAACTTCCACCAGTGGAACTCGCCGGACGCACCGTGGGATTTGCCCTTCACAGTGCCCTCCAAAATCCGAACGGCCAGCCCCAGCCCCGGCGACAAAATCCACAAGCTAGAGCCCGTGTACCTCGCAGAGACCGAGGTCAGAAAGTCGCAGTTCGACACCAAGAAAACGGACCCGGTGACGAAGACGTTCATCTACATCACTGCGTTTGTCATTGTTTTTGCGTTGGCAAGAGACAAGAAGGTGGGAGAGGAGGGCAAGCCCGTGGAGTATATTTCCGTTGACCAGTATGCCAAGCAAAGGGAGGACGAAAAGCGGGAGCTCCAGCTCAAGCAGGACGCGGAGAAGGAGGCCGCGTTGGCCAAGGCTAGGGCCCGCAAATGGTACTATCTCTGGTTGAAGTGAGCCAGGGGAAATCCAGGCGTGGCGGTCACAGACAGAGAGTCTTGGACTGGCTTTGTATGTCCCTGACGGGGAGGCGGTTTCCGAGCCCTGCGATTTGCGTTTGCAATGTGATTGCAATGCGACATTCTGGATGTTGTTGTACATAGACCATCTAAGGTCATATATCGTAAAGTAAAGTTATATATACCTTATGATTTATATTTTTATCTTCATTAATCCTTCTATTCTATCTAAGGAAAAATATGACTCACATAAGATGTCATAAGTAAAAAACAAACATGAGATTTATATCATATTTGAGAAGGTCATTAAATTTATATGTTATTAATAGTATTATACATCATCTTGATTTGTATATCTTAAATAAAAATGTTTTAAAAATTCTACATTTCTCTAAATGCTTTTATGATTATAAATACAGGCTATATATAAACATTAGTACATAAAATGTAAAACTTAAGTATTCATTTTCTACTTTTATTTGGATGTGGTTATCACAAATAAGTTAATATAGATATACAAACCAGATTTGTCTTTCACTTCAATTCACGTATCTTTATCGGTTATTGCTACAACCACTTATTCAGTCATTGATTAACCTTTTTAATCAACACTTGTAGATGAATAGAACGTCTGCTTTCGGGCTTATTGTATTTAATTTTTTACTATTCTTTTTTCAAATCTCTTAAGAAGTTTCAAAGTTCCTTCTTAGTACATTTTTAACTCAACGCCTTAAATATAACTACTTGTTCAATACATTTAGCATCTTATTGGTCATACCTAAATAAGCTATAGCATTTTTAGCGGATCTATTAGGTCTAACACCAGAACTATGTATCTCACCTGTACTCTCTACTAGTGGTTCTAATATTAAGTTAATGAAATGTTGTAATGCTCTATCTTTTAAAGTTGGAATACCTAATGGTGTCGCGTTGCCGGACTTGGCTCGGGGCGCCTGGAAAGCTTGTGCAGTGGCTGCGATGTGCTACGATGATCCGGCGAAGCATTGGAGAACTCTCAATGGAGCCGTGTTCCGGTGGAGGCTACGGTGCAATGCAAAGGAGGTGTATATTTTGTGATGCTGGTACATATGTCTACAAACCTGTCTGGGCCAGTGAGTCACATTCAATGTCGAGCATCGATCCGCCTCGTGTCCACCAGTCGGATTTGTGTGCTCTGAGAACAGGCAGCAAGGCAGGCGTTTGCGGGCTGCGTTTGGTGTTGTGTTTCCATGATGGAATCTGAGCCGAAGGAAATCGAACGCGGGGATTGCAGGCGGGCATGGGCCAAAGGGATTTAGAGAAATGCCTGGAAGACGAAAAGGATTTGAGGGGACTAAAATGGCAGGCCGATGCGAAAGACACCTGACGATGTCTGACAAGAGGCGGGATCAAAGGAGACCAGTCATCAAGTCATCCAAGTCAGCAAAGACATCGAGTCATCGAGTCAGCAAAGACAGCAAAGTCAGCAAAGCCAGCAAAGACAGCAAAGACAGCAAAGACAGCAAAGTCAGCAAAGACAGCAAAGTCAGCAAAGACATCAAGTCAGCAAAGACAGCAAAGTCAGCAAAGTCAGCAAAGACAGCAAAGTCAGCAAAGACATCAAGTCAGCAAAGACATCAGGAGACATAGAAGACATCAAAGTCAGAAAGTCAGCAAAGACATCAAATCATCAAAGACACCAAGTCATCAAGAGACATCAAGAGACATCAAGAGACATCAAATGACATCAAATGACACCAACAGACACCAACAGACACCAACAGACACCAACAGACGCCGCAATGAAACCTCAACTACACCTTACACCAAACACCTCAGATCGCTCAGCACGTGCCAAAGACACCACGCACACAGGACAATGCCCAAAACGGCCGGTTTGCCCGCGCATCAGGCATCCTCCTCCATTTCGTCTTCGTCGCTGTCGTCGCTATCGTCGTCCTCTTCGTTCCAGCTGTTTTCAACAGTCTCCCGCACACGCTTGATATATTGCGAGCGGTGGTCCTTATACAAGTTGGCCGCCTCCACATTGGCCGGCGACGAAATGTTCGGGTCGTTGAGCAACGACTGGATGGACGTCAAAATACTCGACACGTCGTAGGTGGGCGACCAGCGGTTTTGCAAAATATCTAGGCACAATTCGCCGCTGGCATACACGTTGGGATGGAACATCTCGCTGAGAAATTTGACCAGCGGCGGCTTGTTGGGGTACTGCTCGTCAAACTGCAAGCCCAAGCGGAAAGTGCCGTCTTCAAACGGCGTTTCGGCGGGGCCGATAATCACAGCATTCCACGACATCACGTTATCTGGAACAGGCAGAGCCGACACGCCGCTGGGAGCGTCCAGCTGCATGCGCTTGAAATCCCTCATGAGTCTTCTTTTGGCAGGCGTGGACATTGTGGACAGAGCGGTGATTTCAGGTGAGTATATACAGAGTGGGGGCGTGGGCAGGAAGAAGCAAGGGAGGGTTTGGTGCTTTTGCCAATGTAGTACGCCGTTCTTGAAGCGAGCCTGCTTAGTGAGCGGCACGGCCTGCACACAGGCGCGGGCCTCGCGTCCGCACCTCCAGAAAAAGGCCGAATCCCATGGAATGCCTTCTCGCGTAGCCCATGTACGCCAGGCGTCGCCCGCCCCACGAACGCGGCTCCCCATCCAGCGGCACACCACGGACGGGCTACTGTGGCGGAAGCTACTTTAGATTTCTTGTGTGTATTTAGTAGTACGCGCGCGCGCGTGCACCGCGGCGGACATTCCCGGCTCGACAGAGACAGGGCTAGACAGGGAACGGCCTCACTCCTTGTGGAACCCCGCCACCAAGTTCTTGACGTCCTCGGCCATTTGCTTGGTGATCTCGTCGGCGTCCGCCAAAAGGGTGTCGAGCTTCTCGGCGAAAGTCCCCTCCGCCTTTGGCGCATGTGCCTCGTGCGTGCCTGCCCAGAAGTCGGTCAAGTTGTGACCCGCACCGTTGAAGGCCAACACGTTCGGAGTGCCGTCCTCAGGAAGTCCCGACAACACACCGGACGTACCGAAACCGATCAAGTTCTTCTTCAACTGCGTGGTGGACACCCCTTTGTCCGACACGAAAAACTCAGAGCCAGCTCCGGGTTGCAAGGAAAGGTAGTAGGTCAACAAACCACAAATGTGAGGCGACGCCATCGAAGTTCCACTCAACGTCGCGGTCGAGGTCTCTGAGCCAATGTACGTACTGAGGATGTTGAGGCCCGGCGCAAAGATGTCGACGGCACTACCGTAGTTCGAGAAGTAAGCTCTGGCGTCGGAGATGGTCGACGCGCCAACAGTGATGGCCAACTCTGCAGACGCAGGAGAAGAGTTGGAGGCGTCCTGGTTCTCGTTACCGGCTGCAACGGCAAAGTGAATGCCCGACTTCACTGCAGCGTTCACAGCCATGTCAAGGGCAGGAGACTTGCCACCTCCCAACGACATGTTGGCGGTGGAGCCCTTGAATCCCTTCTTCTTGGCCTTGACGGCTGCCTGGTGAGACTGCGCGGCGAACTCCACTCCCTTGACTACATCAGACATGGAGCCCGAGCCGTTCGACCTCAACACCTTGACACCGACAACCTCGGCTTTCTTGGCAACACCGTAGTCCTTGGAGGCAATGGTTCCAGCGCAATGGGTGCCGTGGCCGTTGCCGTCGGTGTCGGTGTCGCCGGTGGGAATGGTCTTGCCCCACTTGGCTCTTCCTTCAAATTGCAAGTGGTCAATGTAAACACCAGTGTCAATCACGTACGCGGTCACACCCTCGCCGCCCTCATTGTCGTAAAGGTATTGGTTGAAGTTTCCCAAGGAGAGAGGGTTGCGGTGAGACACACGCGCCAAGCCCCACGGGGCGCTCTTTTGGATGTCAAACTCGTTGGCGTACACCATGGAATCCTTCTCGACAAAAGCAACAGCGGGGTCGCGGCGGATCCACTCAAGCGTCGAGTCCAAGAAGTAGCCCGAGTATCCGCTCAAAGAGTCGGCAATGTTGAAGATGTCCGAAATTCCGCCCTCGACGTTTGCGTCCTTGATAGAGGCAAAGTAAGAGTCGGAGGAGTCGGTTTGGCCCACGTCTTGGGCATGTCTCTCCGCAATCCATTCTCTGTGGAACTGCGCCATGTTCTCCTCGACATTGGTCTTGAAAACGACAATGTATTTGTGAGCAATCACATTGCGCTCGTTCTCCAAGAATGGGGCAGCCAAGCTGGAGGAGATCTTCTTCTCAAAATCAGCGAAACGGGTGGCAGCAGCAGGCACCAAAGAGCCAGCGGCCTCGTTCAAGTGCTTGGCAGACTCGCCCACAGCATGTTTCAAGTCCTGGAGGCCTGTGCCTTTGAAGGTCTCAATGACGTCACCGACATTTGGAATGGTCAACGCATTGGCGCCAAGACAGGCCAAAATGGAAAGGGCTACCGAGCGAGAAAGCAACATTCGATCAGTTTAACGGGTGAGCTTGAAAGGGGAATGTAATTTACAAGCAAAAAGCAGCAAATCAAAGCGGTTGAAGCGGGTGCGAAATTTGGGCTGGGCGGGCTGATGGGGCGGGTTTTATAATTGTAGGGTGAGGCTGTGGATTTCTTTTGACCGATAGAAAAAAGAAGGGATCCAGAAGTCTCTGCTAAAAAAGGGGGCGCGGGGTGGACTGGTGGCGATAAGCGCCTTTTATACATTTCTGGGGTCGCGCACGAGTGACCAAACGAAGTGGCCCGCTGTGTGCAGGAACTGCGACATCGGCGTGGAGTGTGTGGCTGGATACTGTGTGGCTGGACTTTCCCTTTATTTGGAACACGCGAAGACATCGGAAGTTTGACTTTTGACCCATTGGCTGACTAGTAGGAGGCAACATTCAGGGTGGTATACTGGGCTTTTTCTTTCTTTTTTTTCACTTTGGAACGGTGTGAAGAAGTCACGTCTATTTCTAGACCGTAGATGAACGAACATGGCATTACGTCACGTGGCGCTCCAGGCCAGATGCCCGTGGGAGGGTGAGCCAATGCATGAGTCATTAGCCAAGTTTCATGGAGACTCACAGATATACTGGGCATTTTCCTGAGCTTGCAACTCTCCAATTTTCTTGGTATCTTTTGTTGCCTCGAATATGCTCTTTGGCATACTGGATTGTGGATGCGCGCTTAGTAGATAAACCAATTTGGAAGAGATTGACAGGGCTTTTGGAACAGTTTTAGGAGTTTTTCTAGGAAAGATATTTAGCGGATTTTCGGAAGATTCTAGGAAGTGTGTAGACGACGCTCCGGGCACAAATCACTGCGGCTATTCCCAGCGTTCTTCAAGATGCAACAGCCTTTGAAGAACTCATCACTCATGCACCGCCACCAACTTGCGGCTCTCTCTTTGGGTGTTTTTTTTTATCTGCCCACGAGTCAAAACCTACCATATAAAATTTTTGTTTCAAAACACCGAAGCCATGTTTGGTGTACGCGTCTTGTGGGTGTTTGTACACGCGAAACTCGACTCCCAGCCTGTTTGGGTTATTTCCCTGGAATCTTATAATTCCATTATAGTTATTATGGAGGCGATTAGGAGCTTGTTGTATTGCGGTTAGATCTGGGCGGGCGAGAAAATACGTCATAAGACCCCGCGCCTTATCGGGCCCAGCTTGGGCGATAAGGCGGCGCGGGCTCATACGCAAGACAATGTCGCGTTTGCTTGTCTATCGCGAATAGGGTTTCTTATCTCCCTCCGTTTAATTTCTGATATTGCCGTCGGAGAACTCCTGGGCTTGCCTAGTATCTTGAGGCCTGTGTCGATATTCACTTTCGGAGGCCATTGGGTCTACATGGAAGATTTTCTGCATTTGACGGACGCTTGCCGCGCCACTAATTTCGGAGGTCTATACTGTGATTCCATGTGTCGCAACACCTGACAGTTGGTACAGTTTTACAGGACAATCTCTCGGACCCAGCCTATGTCATTTCGGACGCAAGTGTCGCTCTATATTCTGTGAAAACCCTCGGCTCATGTCTATCCACGACTGCCAACATCTGGATCTGAGCAAAGAGTACCCAATCCGTTCTGGTGTGTAGAATTGTGTTCAAATCTCTCGATAACGCACGATTGTCATCAACTACTTAAAAACAAGCATGTGCCTCACGTTGGATTGCCTCATGAAATGCTAGATTTGCGGCTTGCGTTCACAACTATGATATTAAACTTTGAAATCAAGGACTTAAATTCCCTAGTTTTAGCGTAGTAAGTTCCAGTCTATTGACTAAGCAATACTTACTTACAAGCTTAAAGCATGCCTCATATCAAACTAAGGCACGGACCCATCAAGGTCCCATTAAAGTTTTGCCACGCCCCCATCATGCACCGTACATGCGGGAGGCCCGAGAAAGGCAGGCCCATCGAAATCTGGAGCACCTTTCTCCACAAGTCCATCATGCAGCGTGTTGCATGAGCCAGCTTTGAGCACCGTCTATTCCCTGCACCGCCACGGCTCTGTAGATCATGTTCTCGTGGTACTGCCCCTCGCATACCAAAAGATCCACGAACTTCTTCTTTCTCTGCATGTTTTCGCTGACACAGAACCAGAGCTTGCTGGATGTAGAAGAGCGTTTCCCGGAATTGATCGGGAGACTGGGAGAGGCGATTTTGGGAAGTAGGTCGGCTTTCACATGCGCCAATGCCTCCTTGAGGCCGAGCTTCTCGTTGCCGTTGGCACACTCTCGGTTCTGGCACCACAGATGGCCGCACCCCCTTGTCAACTGGAGCACGTACTTTCTTTCGATCCGCAGCTGTAGCTTCGTGTTGCTGGGGTCATGGGTGCTGGAATAAAGAGGCCCGTAGCATGTTTCACACAAGCCCAAGGGGTTTTGCGGCAGCAGCGAGGCGTTGGCACAATTGGCGTTCACGCACTTGGGATACGACTCGGCGTTTCTCTCAGCTTTGACCAACTCGTGTATTTTCAAGTGGCTCGCGAGTTCCTTGTTGCGGAGCACCTTTCCGCACTGGTAGCACTCCGCGGTTTTGTTGCCACACTCGTTTTCGTGGTGGGTCAAGTTTAGGAAGCGGTCTTCAAAGGTGCTTTCGCCCTGCGGCAACACCAAGTGGCAGAACTGGCATTCGTGCAACTTGGAGGCACACGACGCGGCCTTGTGGTTCTGCACCAAGGCGAGAAACGTCTCGTGCTCTGTCTTGTCGGTGCATTTGTCGCATCGGTAGGGCTGGTTGTGGTATAGGCGATCGTGCTTGAACTTGAAAAGGGCAGAGTCGCCGTGAACATCGGCGCACTTGTCACAGTGCCAGTGCGTGGCAGGGACTTGCTTTGGAAATACTTGCCCACACGAGCACCGCACGTTATTGCGATAGCAGAACGCCTCGTGCAACTGCAACTTGCTGTGTTCAACCTGAACGTGGCAGTTCGCGCATTTGGCTTTATTGGCCGAGTCCTCCACAGATGCCGTGTCGACGGCAAGATGATCGGAAACACTTATGGCCACCGTGCTTTTGTGCTCCCAGCAGAATGGCACCACATAGAGCCATAGGTTGTCCAGGCCGGGGCCTCTGAGGCGAGAGTTGGAGATGACATCGCTCGCCGTGTCTATGACCACCGACTTCAGGAGCGTGGTTCCGCAGTCTTGTGCCATCGTGCTCCACATGAAGTTGTCCAAGTTGAGAAGCTTGTCGAGACTGCAGAGGAGGTCCGAATTGTACGGGTCGTCTGGGCTTGTCATCTGGAGAGCCGCGGTGTGGGGGAACCGTAGAAGATCCAATTTGTATATGCGCGGATGTGCCGTCTTGTTCAACGGCTCAACCTCAAGCGTGGCGCCCGCCGTGATTTCGGGAATGTCGTCGAACTTGAGCATCTCAGACTCATGGTGCAACTGCTGTGCGGCCATGATGTCGTTGAGGGGTTCCACGTCGAGAGTTATGTCCGTGTCCACCACTAATACCAGAGGTGCGTTTGCAGCCTCCACTACAAGCTCCACGTCCATGCCCGCAACCGCATCGGTATAGCAAAATCGCTGCGTTTCAGAGAGCGTCGTATACTGGGTGCTCAAAAACGACTCCAAGTAGTATTTCCAGTTGGTCACATGGGGGTAGAATTGGGCCGGGCGAATGCGCAACGAGGTCGCTCTGGGAACCGTGTTCTGCAACTCACACGAGGCGACATCGGACCCGAGCCGGGCCGCGATTTGCTGCGGCACCAACACGGTGTTTTCAGGCGCCGTGAACTCTCTCACTCCGACGAGAACCTTGTTGTTGAGAGAAAACACCATGGGATGGGGCAACTGGTCATGTGACGCGACCGCCTCTGCAAGAAGCGATGGGGGAAGGATGCATTTATCGGAGAAGGCAGGAAGCGAGCCGGATATCTCGATTCGGAACTTGGCCGCCATGTCTGCGAGTCGGTGTTTTCCAAGAAGCCGTGAGTGTCGGTTGTTTGGATCTTGTAAGCTTTGGGTGGATTTTGGACATGGGCCGGCCAGTATGGCTGCGCGCGGCCGACCATATATATTAGCCGGCTACAGGCCATGGCCGTAGTGTAGGACATTTGAGCTCGGCTGCCTTTATGGGCACTGGGTGTATGTATTGGCGCAGTAGCTTTCAACTATTTGAATTTATTGGTATTGTGTATGCTCAACCGGGACATTTTTTGTGTTGATTTGTGTGTTTGATTGGAACCGTATATATTCATGGCATGTATATTAATGTCGGGGGACTGTGCCCATTCTTAGACTCCAGTCCTTGCGAGCGCGTTTTGTGAGCATCCTATAAAGAGCAGCTCCAAACGGGGCTATTTCTTGTGGCTGCTTGTTTGCAAGAGTAGATTATCCCGGGGGACGAAAGCAAACGCTGTCGCCGAGAATCACTTGCTCGAAGTATCGGCCGACCTATTTCTAGCGCGAGTTCTGACGAGATTAAATCAAGCACCCACGACACGCTTATCTTGCGGCCACCCATGAACGACTCGGAAACTGTTGCATGATGCCGATGGACTTCTGGTGTTGATAAGGCAATGTGCTTTTGATATGCTGCGTATGACTTGCATCTATACGAAAAGCCTTTATATATGGGCCACCACAGCATGCGGCATTGGACACTTATATAATCGCATGGATCAGATATATCTACGTCCAGCCAGTGCAGTCAGAATATACACAGTACGGCTTACAACAAATAGAATAAAGATAAGAACTCGTGCAATTCTGAGGCCCAGCTACTTACTCGCGGATATTGATGGTGATATATTGGGCTGTATTGGCTGGTGCGCAGACTTTCAAAACGCTCTTCCTGGGACTGAGGTCAAGAGTTTTGACACAAAATCTTGCCTCGGCTGAAATAAGTGAATGCTTGCATCTTTCCGGCTTTTTCAGTAGCTAGAGACAGATAATACAGTTGTGGCGGATGCAAATTCACATATGCATCTCACCGTCTGAGGCAGAAACTGACAGGCCTCACTGCCTAGACCAGAAATCCAAAAAGTACCAGTGAAGTCGAGACTCTTTTTTTAGCGGTGGTAGTTGGGTGGCCACACGATTGAGCTCACACGACAAAGGCGTTCACAATTCATCGTGAAAACACACAATTGAGTTCATCTCGGGCTTCGGAAATGGTTCGGCACTCCACGAGCCGAAATATATATGGTGGCAATATTCTGATTTTTTTTAAAAAGATCCACGGAAACAATATCTAACAGTACGGCTCAAGCAAGCCGTGCATCATTGAGAACATTGTCATGATCAACTCGAAAACGGTAGAGAAGTGCCAGACACGAACAAATACAGGTCCAGAGTTAGGCAGCAGAACCCCAGATTTCTTTTTTGGGCCTACACTGGAACACAATCCATCTGATTGTCGAGTATCGATTGTCGGTCATTATCAACATGCGGCAAGGCCTGAAATGCATTCTTGGCTTGTATGTAGAGGCTGGGAAATGAAGACACATACAAACTCACACCTGCACATAAGCGCGTTTTTCCTATTAGGGCCAACGGCTGGACGCTGTGGTGTGATAACGATATTAAGGCCTTCAAGTCTAGAATCTAAAAAGGACCACGTGGCACGCACTCATTTCCGCCTCCAGATCCAGTATTGTTGGGCTGCAGGTTTCTGGAATGGGCTTTCGCTTAGAGATTTCCAGAAACACAAAATACTTTGCTTTGCCAGCACACACCATTTTTCTCTAATGCCATGGCAAAACAAATTTAGAACAAGAGTAGAAAAATTCCGAGGCCGAGCTTGCTACATGCCGCCCTGAAAAGCGCGACTTTTTAACACGCATAATGTCAGCTCAAGCTCGTAATAGTCGAATTAATATATGCAGGTAGGGATCAAGTGTGCACGCGCCAAGTTTGTATACGATCTTCATACTTATCATCTGGTTAGTGAGTTTCTTCCTTGTTCTGATGGACTTTGCATGTGCAGTGAACTTTTGGCAGTATGCCCTATATAAACGAGAATCTTGTCTGAACCATTCAGCCAGAAACTGCGCTCGGGAAGCTTGCTTAGTAGGTTTATGTGCAGAATGACGTAGGGTCCAGAGGGAGGCCCATGATTCGCAGGGAATGCTGGCCAGCAATTACACAAAGTGACTGTGCCATTTTCACACTTTCATCCATAATCAAAAAATTGTCTTCACTGGATTTTCTAAGGAGCTTCTAAAAATAGAGCCAGAGGCTCAATGAGCAGCCAGAAGCGCCAAGTAAAGTCAACCATGATTAGCAAAACCCCTGCTATCGGACTGTCTGGTATATCACACTTCGTCGCTCACCTAATCTTGTGTTTTTTTTTTTTGTTTTTGGTAAATATCTTCTCTCATGCACGCATCCTCGCGCGTGCAGATCCCGATTGACGCAGATGCCCCGTTCTTCATGCAGACACACTGGATAGCGCAGAGAGGTCAAATTGGGCCATCCCATTTTCTGGGCCTCTTCTGTATCCATTCTCGCCCTTCTTCCTTCCAGGCTATTTTCATATCTACTACCTTTATACATAATCATCATCCGCTTTTTTGGATCTCTTGATATTCGTTCATCACTTCCCAGTCCCAGCCGGCTTTCCCAATATCTTTTGTCTTCTCAATACTCACCTAATCCCTGGGATCGACTTGTCATAGCTGCAGATACTGAGTACCAGAAGCCATTTCCTTGGTGCAAACGACAGATATAGTGTAATTGCCCAAAGCCTTTCAAATAAGATCCGGTGGTATTTTGTGAAATATCAAGAAACCGCGTCACTTCAGCGGCTGAAGGCAGAGAACCAAAGGTTTTAAATAAGAATAGCTGCCCCGGTAGTCACAAACACAGCACCCCATTTCCAACCTCTAATTCCGGAGGCTTTTATTTCTGGTGCCTATCAGATTGCAGATTCGAACCAAAGATAAAGAAAATGGTGTTTAACTTTCTTGCATCGCGAACCACCGTGGGACTATTGCTCGTGGGAATAATATTCGTCAATCTCCTCTTTGTGGTCCACAATGAAGAAAGTACCAGCATCAGAAATTCAAAAGAAGGGCTTGACCAAGTCATCGACCATTTTATGTCTGATGAGTACCTTGCAACTCTAAAGGACGAGATCCTCGAAACCAAGAAACTGGAGCTCCTAGTTGAAGTTAAGGCGGACCTCGAGAAAAAATATTCCAACCAGCTCTACAACGAAATCAAACAAAGTGCACAAGAAAAATACCGAGAAACCATTGAGCCAAAAGTGCGTAATGCCGTTGAAAAGGATGTCACGGAAAAATACTTTGAATTGGGAAGCATCAACTACGAACTTCTACTGGAGATGAAACTGAAGTACTACGCCGAAAACAAGGCTCTCATAAAAGATTTGATTGCGTTGGAGTCGTTGGATCTGGTGCTCACGAAAGAAAATGGCAAGGACGAGCTCAAGCAGAAGGTTGCTGGCGAACTAGAAGCGCTAGCATCTCGTAAAACCTGGTTCAAATTCGTGATGAAGGACCTTCTACAAAGTTTTGCGCCGAAAATGCCTCCTATCACACAGCAAGAAAGAGGAGAGCTCATTCAAGGGTGTCGCTTCGCCACACACACCACAATATACGATAAGAACATGTTATCACGTGTCAAGTTTTCCAACGAGAGGAAAGCAGACTTCTCTTCCAATCACAAGGCTCTCGTGAAGAAATTGCTCTTAATGAGCACGCCACCGCCCAATGTGTACAATGGGGCAGGAATCGTCATCAGTGGAGGCGGGGCGTACATGGCTGGTGCCCTCACGACGATCGTGCAGGTGAGAGAGACCGGCTCCAAGCTTCCCATAGAGCTTGTCTTGAACTCAATGAAAGAATATGATTCTTACATCTGTGACACCTTAGGCAGCAAGTTCAACTATACATGCTTGGTGATTGAGGAAGAGATTGGGAAAGACATCGTGGAGGAAATGAAAATCACCAAGTTCCAGCTAAAGATCCTAGGGCTTTTGGTGACATCTTTTGACCATGTGATCGCGTTAGACGCAGACAACATGCCTTTGAAAAACCCGGATCATCTCTTGACTTGCAAGGCGTACTTGGATACAGAATTTCTTTTGTGGCCTGATCTCTGGCAGAGAACCATCTCACCCACCTATTATGAAATCGCCGGAATGAAGGCTGGAGAGCCTGTCAAGAGACACGGCTTGGAAAATGGGAAGGATTTTGCGGAGTATTTCAAGAAGGGCCGAGACCACGTACATTTCCACGATTTGGACGGGCTTCCAAATCACATCTCGACGGAAACAGGTCAAATGGTCTTTTCGAAAAGAAAACATTACCGCTCTTTCCTCTTGGCTCTCTACTACAATATGTATGGCGAGTCTCACTACTGGTCCATGTTTTACCAGGGCAGTCCAGGGGATGGAGACCGTGATACTTTTGTTCCTGCTCTTCATGTGTTCAAAGAGCCTTACCATGTGGTTGAGCGCGCAACATGGCTAGCTGGGTTTAGAAGAGAAGACAACTTCTTCCAAGAGACCACAATTGTTCAGTATGATCCCAATACCTCCATGACCTACGATCAATTGTGGAAGGAATGGCTTATGATAAAGGGATATGACCTGAGAATGCATTTCAATCAGGACAACCAATACACGAGAGACTTGGTGAAGGAATTCCACGCCCTGACGCATGCCGTTCCAGAGCCTGAGGTGTTCTTCCTTCATGTGCACAGACCCAAGGTCAACCCAATCTTAGCGACACACAGCGATGGTTATTTTGATTGGAATCGTCAAAGAAATCTTGGAAAGGTAGGGGTTTACACGAAAGATTTTGGAAACATCGACTGGGACTTGAGGTTCTATACCATCGCGGAGTGGGTTGCATGCAAAGGTATTAAAAGCGATGAGTGGTGGAAGTCCGTGGACCGTGTCCAATCACTGGTTTGTGAGGCCATGTCCGCCTACGTGAACTTCTTGAAGAAAGACACGCAGGACGAAGAGGCACAAGTCTACAAAAATGTTGTTTTGGAGTAAAGAGGTTCTGGATTGCAACAAATCGCTTCTATAAATGGGTGAATCACTCATCTTCCCCGCTATCTTCATCATCATCCGTTTCACTTTCAGTTTGAGAGTCATCTTCCGTGTCATCGTCGTCAAGTTCGCTCTCGCCCTTGGAGTCACCTTCCTCACAGCTGCTTTCGTCACTGTCGCCAGAGAGAATCGCAGAAGCATTGATATTCTCAACGGAGACTTCGTATCCTTGAGAATGCAAGAATTTTGAAAAGGTTTCATATTTTGTTGTTGGAACACACGAAAAGATAAGCGAGCTCTCGGAGGAAAACAAAGGAAGGAAATACTTCTTCAAAATGTAAATCAAATCTTCACTGGTGTAAGTATTCAACTGTTTCAAAAAGTCCGAAACGTAGTTTGAGCCTCTTTTCTTGAAAATCTCATCTGTGATCTTGTTGATAGCTGCATCATAAGAGTTTGCTTCGGCATTGGCCAACTCATTTACTATGGCCGCGATGGAATTCTCAATGCTGATTGCGTCAATTTCGAGCTCACCGCTAATGTAATCCGAAATGATCTTTTTTCCCGTGATCCATGCTTGCTGAGCATCAGCGCCACGATAAATAGAAAATGACAAGTATCCTGACTCAATAAGTCTCCTAATGTTGGCGCCATAAGCCAATCCAGTACCTCTAATCGCTCTCCAGAAAGGACCCTCAACACCACCCAAGAACTCGCTGGCAAGAGCGATTTTGTAGATGTCTTCATTCAAATAGTCCGTTGGAATAGGTGTCAAAGATATGAAGTGTGTGGTTTCACTGGCGGGAGTCGTTGCCAAGAAGGCTTTCTTCGAACACTGATTACCGATGGATGTCTTGAACTCAAAAGCTCTGGGAATGTTTTCAAGAGAGAAGTAAGAAGACTCAGGTTTGCTTTCGAACTCTTTCACAAATTGAGTCCAAGATGAAACGGGGGATTCAATGCTGGTTGCTCCCCCCACCACAAAGACCTTCATGTTCAGTACGTTGAACAAATGGGCGCGGATCGCCTCGAGGTCAGTCTTGATTTCAGAGAAGCCTCCTTCCTTGATTTTTTGAAGAAGCTCCTTGTAGAATTCTTCAGTATTGATGCAGTCCTGAGCTTTTCTGATGGACGCATCAGTGTAGACAGTACGGTACTGCAAAGAGTACATCATCAATTCGTCGTTTCTCTTTTTGTCCGCGAGGGAGTTTACGATCTTCTCGATGATGATCTTGATTCTCGATTCCTCGAACACAGAGTACTTCAAGACGTTGGTCAACCACTGGATCGACTTTTTGTAGTTTGATTTTTCGAACTTGACCTTGACACTCAGGAGCTCGGCAAACTGGTTCTCAATGCCATTGTCGAACTGGAATTCAATCAAGTCGTTATTGAGTTCCGTGATCACCTTTTCGTAGGGAATGTACTCACCCGTGGGGAGCTGGATAGACATTGAGAAAATCTCTTCAAGGACCGCAAAGTATTTCAAAAGCCTTTCAGGCACAGACGTAGTGGACATCAATAGATGGATGGTGGCGAACTGCGAGTGAAAGTTCTGAAAGTGCAAGTACAACGGGAAGTTTTCGGGCAGGTCCTTCTGGATGACGTCGTGGAAGTTGCCTGTCTGTTCGTACTCGGTGAACTGGCCCTCATTGGCACCGCCAGCAAAAGACTTGGTCTTGATGAACTCGATTTTGGACGGGTCCGGCTTGCCAAATTGAGTGAGAAGCTCGTCGGGGATGGGCTTGTCGTTGGCAGCTTGCGCAAGCTGCAACTTCTCGCCCAACTGCGCGAGCCCGCTGTCGCCGTACCTGGCTTTGATTTCCTTGCTGCGGTCCTTGTTGGCCTTTTTGATGGCACGGTTCAATTTCGAGGACGGCACGCCCAAGATGGTGGCCGGGTGGTTGTTGACAAAGTAGGTCTTGATCAAAGCACACCACTCTTCGGCAGTCCACGTGGAGAGAACCTCGAACTCGTTCAAGCTCTTGGTCCACTTCAGCAAGTCCAGCCCGTCCGGGTTGCCGTAGATGAATTCCAGAATGGCCATGTTGGAGAACGTAGCCGGGTCTCGCTCTGTCTGGGCCACGAACTTGAGTTTCTGCTGGTTGACCACCTCGGTCATGTACTTCAAGTCCAAGTGCTCCGGGTGCGTCTGCTCCTCCAAGAGAGCTTTCAACTTGGCGTCGACGGCGTGCAAGTGCGCCGTGGGGATGCCGCTGACAGTGAAGTTCAAGCCCGTGCGCACGAAGTCGTCGGTGCCGTAGTCGATCTCCGTGGCCAAAGGCTCGTCCACCTCCACCAAGTGGCGGTTGAACAAGGAGATGGGCGAGTCCGCGAGGTACGAGCCGACCATGTCCACGGCCAAATTTTCCAAGAGCTTGCCGCTCTCCGGCCCGATCCAGCCGATGACCAACTCGGCCATGGACTCGTCGTCGTCGGGGAACTGCACGGACTTGACAACGGTGTGCGGCAAGGGCAAGTCGTGCGGCGAGTCGACGAACGGGCGCCTGGGCAGCGTGCCAGGCAACGGCGCGAGCTGCTCGTCAAAAGCCGACATGGTGGCCAAAAGCTCGGCCTCGTCCACGGAGCCGGTGATCACCACGCAGAGGTTGTCCGGGCGGTACATGGCGCGGTGGAAGTCTCTGATCTGCGAGTTGGTCAAGTGGCGCAACTCAGCCATGAGCCCGCCGGTCTCGGACGAGTAGCCGGAGCGTTCCGCGTACAAGGTCTTCTGCAAGTTCAAGTAGGACACGAACCAGGTCTGCGACTCGATGCCCTGCATCTCGGAAAACACCACGCCTTTCTCCTTGCCCTTGCCGTCGATGTGGTAGACCTCGGTGAGGCACGCGTCGTCGGTGAGCGTGGGGTGGAACAAGTGGTCCAAGTAGACGGGGAGCAAGGTGCGGAAGCCCTCCCAGCCGGCAGTGGACAACGTGTACACGGTCTGGTCCACGCTGGTCCACGCGTTGGTGGACGAGAAAAAGCGGTTGCCCAAGCTGTCGAGGAGGCCCTTGTAGGGGTACTTCTTGGAGCCCATGAACACCAAGTGCTCGAGCGTGTGGGGGCAGCCGGAGTCGTCTGCGATTTCCGTGGCCACGGCAAAGTACCCATTGACGATGGGCGACGGCTGGTTGATGTATGTGAGCTGGAGCCCCGTGGTGGGCGAGCGCCACTTGGAGATGCGGGCCGGCGCGTAGTCGACGTCGAACGCGGTTTGGCGGGCGAAACGGGACATGTGGGGGAGGCGGAACGGAGAAAGCAGGGTTGGTGGGAGAAGACGATGGGGCGGCGAGCGGTGTCTTCTTTTAGGGCCGGGGCCGCGCGCCGCGCGAAGACCGGGCGCCAGTTGGTGCACTGGGCGGGCGCAGCGCGGGCCCAATTTGGCGCGGGAAAGCGCCGGGCATTTCGGGGAGCGGCGTGTCTTCGGAGCTAAGGGGATTGTGGCGAAGCGGGGTGTAAAATTAGGGAAGGGAATTTTCGGGGATGGCGGGGATGGCGTTTTGGGTGATTTTGCGGGTGTTTGTGGGTGTTTAGTGTGTGTTGGTTAGGTGGTTCTGGGGGCGATCTTCTGGGTGGCGGTGACGTGCATGGGGCCGCGCGATCTCATCACTGGAGCCCCGCGGGGGCCTGGCTGGGCGCGGAAGCCTGGGTTTGGGCAGTATGGGTAGGCAGAAGACGGGCCGCCGTTGCCTTTGGCTCAGGGGTGTTTTTCGTCGCGTGGTTTTTCATGCCCTTGCCAGCTTCTCGTCGGGTGGCGTTTTGTCGGCTGTGTCGTGTTTTGTCGTTTTATATGTTTGCTCGTTGTAGATGACATTGTCTTTTTGCCTGACCTGGTGTCTGGGCACGCGCGGGGTGCTGGCTGCTGGACGGAGTCTTTTCCATTGGGTCCTTTCATGAAGTCCTTTCATAACGTACTTTCACGGTGTTCCTTCATAGTGTCCTTTCATAGTGTCCTTTCATGGAGTCCTTTCATTGTGTCCTTCCATTGGGTCCTTTCATGGAGTCCTTTCATTGTGTCCTTCCATTGGGTCCTTTCATAGGGTCCTTTCATAGTGTCCTTTCATGGTGTTTTTTCATGGTATCCTTTCATGGTGTCCTTTCACCAATCATAAACAGTTGTAGTACCTCTTTCATCTACTCTGAACAATTTTTTTTTTTTTGGGCAAGTGTCTGCTACTAAGATGTCTCTTGTCACCTTTGTCGCTTGGGGTGCGTAGGTATAGCACTGTTTATCTGCTCTGTTAGTTGTCCCTCCAGATCCGCCCTGGTCTGTTTTGGCACTATCTCATCTCTCCTTTACTTCTTTGAAAAAGCCTTGAGCCCAGACCCTTGTTTATCTTTATTTTTTATCGCTTCATCGCTTGATCTCTTCGTCTTTTTCCTTTCCGTTGTCCTTTCCTTTCCCTGTTTTTCCTGTCCTCTCGTCCTCTACTCCTCCTAATTCCGTTTCCTCTATTTCCTGCCCTCTTTTACTGTTTATTTTTCTGTTCTTCTTTTTCGGTTCCCCAGTTTGTGTCTCTTCTTTTACTTTCCTCTTCCTTTCTTTCTCCTCTTTTTCTCCTTTCCTTTCCTTCCTCCTTTCTCATTTTCTGTTCTTCCTTGGGCCAGTTCCAGTGCCGCGGCGCGACTCGCGCCAACAAATAACCAAGCCAACACGCACTCGACGTTTCTCAACACTGGCCTGGGGACACCTCGACACATGGCCAAAAAGCCCTGTATGGGCAGAAAAGTACCCTATCGGTCGACATTATGGTATCATTTTTCAATTTTAATAGTAAGCCCCGAATATGGCCCCGAATATGGCCCCGAAAAGGGTCCCAAAATAGGTCTGGTCGTCTCCCCAGAACACGGCCTGGAATACAGCCCCAGAGCTTGACTTCATTACTAATACACAGGGCTCCAAACAGCCGAAAAGCTGCCAGTCTGAATTCAGAAGACTCATTTTTTTTTACTCCTCTTTCAGCCTTTCACGGCACCGCCGGCCTTTCAAGTCCAGCCGCCTTGCCGCTGTTATCTGCTGCCCCTTTGCCGCCGCCGCGCCATTTTTGCTCGACTCTTGGCCCCCTCGATTTTTGGCCCCCTCAATGTTTGGCCCCTTTTTGCAGCCGGCCCCGTTTTTCGCGGCCCCGTTTTTCGCGGGCCCATATCTTTTTTTTCTCGCCGCTGCCCGCGGCCCCAGGAAACCCGCGAAAGCCGCCCCGAAAAACCGCCCCGCCAGCCAGGAGCTCTGCGCGTCGCGCGCGCTTGTTTACAATCCTCGGCCCCGAACCACCGGCCCCAAACGCCAACGCCAGAAAACTCCCCATTTCGCCCCGGCCCAGACCCGCCAGACACCCGTTTTCCTGCCGCCCGCTCCACTTCTCGCGTGCTACATGAAATGCAAGTCCCGAGCGGCGGCCCCGCGCCCGAAAACCGCCGCCGGCCCGTGTTTCCGGAGGACGACGCGACGTTCGCCCCGCCGCCCATGAGCGCCTATTCCATCGCCGTCTTCAGCAGCAACGCGGCCCAGAAAACACGCCCGGACCCGGCTCTGCCCGCCAGCCCGGGCCGCTGGAAGCTCCGCGAAAACACCGCGTTGCGGGCCTCGCTCAAACTGAAGCTCGCGGCCCACTTCCAGCGCCCTCCCGACGCCGGGCAGAGCCCGCCTCAGCTGCTCCCCCAGTCGCTTCTGGCGGCCGGGCAATCGCCGCTGGCGCCACGCACAGCCATCGCTTCCCCGCACGGCTCGCTGCTCAGCCCCGCCGGGTTCACGCCTACGATGTCCGTGCTGGCAGGCTCGTCCTGGGACCAGCTCCACAGCGCGTCGTCCCACGGCACGGACCATTCCCACGGCACGGACCATTCCAACGGAACCGGCCGCTTTTCCGCCACACACACAGATAGCCCCCCGGGGCCTGCTGTCAGCCGCAGCACCCTCCCGGTGGCCGACGCCAGCGGCCCCAGACTCGACCCGGAAGCCTTCCTGACGACCAGACCCGGAAGCACAAATGGGCCCTGGCTAGGCGACGCTGCGCGAGGCTCACTGCCCGCCGCTCTGGCCACCGCCCCACGTGCTGTCGAAAACGGCTCGGCTCCTGTCGTGGCGCCACACAGGTTATTGAGCTCCCCGCGCCCGGACGTGGATATATCCACGCGACCCTCGTCCAGCGAGCCCGGGCCGCCGCTGTTGGCCGCGCGCCCGTGTTCCAACGGGTCCCTGGCGCGCAAGTCCCGCCTCAACAGGCGTTTCCGGTCGCTTGGCCCGCCCAAACGGGCCTCCGAAATGGCCCTCGCCATGTCCCTTCTGCCCCAGGAAATGCCAGCACAAGAACCCCAAGAGCCCGAGCTGGCCAACCCACAGCCAAGCCCGCGACACCGGGAGTCGCCGCCCCTGATTCCGGCTGCTACCGATGTCAGAGACACTTCTGGCGTGCGGAAGCCGCTCTCCATGGACTCCGATTTTTTCAAGTCACTCAAGCGGTTGAAAGGGGCCTCGTCTCCATCCCGTGATGAAGGCCACCACAACCACGCTGGGCGCGTGCGCTCGCCGGGCTCCGTCGACAACTCCAGACCCACCAAGAGCCCCCATTTCTCGCCTCCCCAAAGCCAACTAGACCGAGAAAATGACCCGGGATACGTTTTTTCCCGGCCTTTTCAGCGCAGGCAGCCCTTGAACGAAGTGCCCGCCGGCGTGCGTAACGCCCTGCGCGGCCCTGACGGGTTTAAGAAACCCAGATTACCCCGACCGAACATCCCCGAGCATCAGGCCGAACACCCCCTTCCCCAGCCTCGTACCGTATCACGAGACCTCACGCCGCTAGTCCAAACAAATCACGCAGCCTCAAAGGGCTTTGGCGGCGCTCCCGCGCCAGGCGCCCACCACGTCGATGCGGATAGGGGTAAAAAGGTCATCTACCTCAATTCGAAGCAGTACGAGAAGCTTGAGGTGCTCGGGAAAGGCGGCACTTCCAAAGTCTACAAGGTGCGCTCGCTCTCCGACCGAAAGGCGTATGCGTTGAAGAAGGTCTCTTTCGACCAGTTCGACGAGTCGTGTGTGCGTGGGTTCAAGGGCGAAATCGACCTCTTGACGAAGCTAAAGCACGAGCCGAGGGTCGTGTCTCTCATTGACCACGCTTCCAGTGCTGGCTCTTTGTACCTACTCATGGAATGCGGCGATCTAGACCTTGCACATGCTCTCCAGAAGAGAATGTATCTAGACACCAAACTTGATCCGAACTTCGTCAGGTTCCACGCCTCGGAAGTCTTCCAATGTATTCAAGCTGTGCACAATGCTGGCGTCGTGCACAGCGATCTCAAGCCTGCGAACTTTCTCTTCGTCGACGGCATTTTGAAAATCATTGATTTTGGTATTGCAAACGCCGTGCCTGATCACACTGTCAACATATATCGTAACTCACAAATCGGGACTCCCAATTACATGGCGCCAGAGGCGTTGGTGGAGGTCAATTCCACCCTTTCGCTTCTGGCGAAGAATGCAGCGACGACCTGGCGGGTGGGGAGGCCCTCTGACATCTGGTCCTGTGGCTGCATCATATACCAGATGATCTACGGCCGGCCGCCTTATGCGTCTTATTCTGGACAGCAAAGGATCATGGCCATCATGAACCCACAGGTCAAGGTGCTGTACCCGGCAACGGGGTTGGGCGGGGTGCGTGTTCCTGCTAGCGCCATAACTTTGATGAAAAAGTGTTTGGAGAGGAATCCAAGTGACAGGTGGACGGTCGAAGAGTGCCTTCACTGCGACTTTCTCAAGCCCAAGGCAGTGGACGAGCACTTTGTCAAAGACTTGTTGCACAATGCCGTCACGTTCGTTCAGCGGAACACGCATCCCGGAAGCATCGACGAGAAAACCTACACCGAGCTCGTCGACACCATTCTCGGTCAGATCAAAGACCTCAATTTAGCATAGACACTGGGGCGCATGCAGCCATGCGTCCAATCTACATGAAGGCTGCGGCACATGGCCCGCCTTCCACTACAGACACCGCCAGCCGGCGAGGAAATAGTGCAATCTTACAATAATTTTATTCATGTCTGATCGCCAGTCAAATGGGCTGGCCTCGGGCTTGGATCAGCGGGGACCTAACTTCTCCAACACCCGTGGGCCTTGCTCTTCCCACTCCTGTTTCGAGATCCACATGTGCTCCTTGTTGGCCATGATGTTTGCCAAAACCGCGCCTCCAATGAAAACCATGTGTCTTCTTCTGGGAGGGTCCTCGATCCTGACCTTGAACTTGTCCAATCTCGACGCGTCTCCGTGCAAAACCCGGGTCAACCACAACTGCTTCAACTCCCTTTCCAACCGAGAAGGCAAGCCCGGGTACATCGACGAGCCGCCGGACAACACAATGGCCTTGTAAAGTGACGTACGGATGTCCACGTCCGCAGCCTGGATGGTGTTGAATAAGGTCTCGCCTACACCTGCCTGTTCGACATCCACCAAGTTTGGCTGGAACAAGCACTCGGGCGCCTCGAACCGCTCGGACCCGAGCTTGATCACCCGGCCGTCCGGCAACTCGTATTGCTCCACCAAGGTGGTGGTTTCATTTGCAAGCTTCAGGTCCAAGGCCAAGTCGCAAGATACGTAGCACAACTTCTCCTTGATCTGGCGCACGGTCTCGAAATCCGCGGTTCTGTTGAACGCGTATCCGCGGCGCAACAACAAGTTGATCAAGTTACGCGTCACGTCCCTGCCAGCCACGTCCAAGCGCCTGGTCAAGTGGTTCAAAACCACGGATTCGTAGACCGGCACAATGTGCGTGACTCCGTCTCCAGAATCAACCACCACACCAGAGCTTAGGCCCTGTGCGTACAAGGCCAATACGGCCTGGATAGCCACATACACGCCGCCAAACTGGTATTTCTCGAACATGACGTCGCACATGGTTTCTCTGTTTTTCAAAGGGTTCATAGGAGGCTCTGTCAACAAGATCTTCTCGCCCTGGATCGGCACCTTCATGCGCTCGTAGAAAGCGTAATCCCACAAATGCTCCATGTCCTCCCAATTCTTGATGATTCCGTTTTCCATCGGGTAGCTGATCTGCAAAAGCGACCTGACCTCGCTTGCCTCGGACCCGCACATGATGTCCTTGATTTCGATGTTGTCAGGCACCAACGCATTTCGCTCCTCGGCCCGCAAAATGGGTCTTCCGACCAAGGAGGGGAATGTGTAGTCAGGAAAATTGGTTCCAGCCCGGCCGATCTTGACGAACCCGGTTCCCTGGTCTAGAACTAGAGTGATGTTAGCACGCTATGTGTGCGAGAAATTGGCCATGCATTTGGTGCAAATGCAAAAGAGGCGCAAGTGGTCCAAACTCCGATTCTTGTGATTTGTCATTAGGGGTGCGAATTCAACATACCTATTGGAGCACTGCTCATGTTTTGTTGGATATTGTTTGTAGTTTGAGGTTGGCCTCTGGCAATTGAGGCGCAACTAGTTGGGAGATAGGGCCGATTGGTCTTGTGTGCAGGTTGCCCCACCAGGTCCGGCCATGAGACACAAGATATGCTTTGAATTCCATTTCAAGGGTATTTTGGGTTCCGAGTAATCGAGTCCTTTGAAATTTATGGGTTTCGTATCGTGAAAGACTTGGACGGGTAAAAACCCACGCTGGTGAGAGGCGCATGATTGCCCATAAGGCAAGGCACTGCATGGCCCGAGACATTGCAAACATATTGTTTTGTTCCCTTTGAATCTGACTACACCATTTCGGATTTTCTTTTTAAAATTTCTTCTTAGAACCTCTGTGACTTTCATTATTCTGTGGACGGGCAAAGCTTGAACAACGTGAACCGCGACGCCCGCAATTGAGCAAGCAATGTCAGTGCACCGTTCGGATCGTAGACCTATGCTTTTCTTTTCCTTGTTTGAATGTTTCCAATTTTTGAGAAAGAATATAGTAGACGGGCTCATAGCATTAGACAGCATGGAAAATCGGTGATCGAGCCTTGCCAAGATGTTCAGTAAATTCCCGAGTGCGCGAGACGTCCACAGCTTTTGAAGCGAGGTTGCCAGATCGAAGCTCTACCAGAAGGAGCCTTAGGAACTAGGCAATGATTAAGACAGTGCATAATTTTTGGGTGCAAAAGGTTTTGGCAAAACGGGAACATACAGGTTTATGGCTTGATAATACGCGTTCCTAGATTGTAGAGCCACGAGTACGGTGAGGTTTCGTAAATGAAAAGAACACTACAACAATGGAATGTAAGTTGGAGCTCCGGGTGTCGTGAAGAGAATTGTATGCTTCTCCATATGTTTGGTTTTCTCGTGTAAAAGAACTTTAATGCACAAAACCAAGTTTCATTGTCCGTAATTTATACAGCTCTGAAAGAAACCTCATTTGCGCTTTTAAAACATGAGATATCATGTATCATGGCTTATTTTGTCTCTCCGCTCTCAGTGAAGCTACCTCCATTTGACTGCTCAATTCCTGAAGACTTAGAACGTGATACGATAACTATCTAACTTACCTATGAAACACTCATTCCTTTTTCTTGGCCTAGTATTTCAGAAAAATGCTTGGTTGTACTTAGAAGACTAGACAAAAGATATAAAACAAAATTCAAGCAGTCCATGCATAGCTAATATTCTGTATGTAACCAGGATGTACATTACTCCTTGAGAAGCGGGTCACAATAGCCAATAAAGCTAGTTATGTTTCAAAGCTGAAAGATATGCGAAAATTAGGGTTTTCTTCTTCACCTTAGGATTCGCAAACTATCTTTCACTTCAGAAAATATAACATTGATAAACTAACTCTTTTTTAATCAAGCTTTGCCGCAATTAACGAATCTCAAATCGAGGACTCAATCTCTGTTGATTGACTCTTCATGCATGTCGTAAGAAAAAAGCTTCATCTGAAAACCTTACTGATTTGTTTTCTAAGGACGGGTGTTTATATAAACTACAGATAACATTTATGAGAATTGATCAATAAGAAAATGCTAGATTCTCATGGAACCCACCCTTTACCGTCTGTCTAGCATCCCTGAATATGGGCATGAGGCAAAGCTATTGGTTTACGCAAGAAAACAAAATGTTCCGCTTTCAAGTTTTGGCACTGCTGGATATTATATTTATGCCGAAAGCACTAGGTGAACCAATTTTAAATACTCTTACGCTTCTCTGTTTATTACGAAAATGAAACCAGAGAGTTTATCAGCTTTTGATAAATTTTTAAGCGTCTTACAATTCAGATTTTATCACTTAATTGCTCGGAACTGGGAGACTTGGCTCTTTCAGAAGTACCAAATTAGGAAGCCCACAGATTTATGATTAACTATATTTATGGCACTAGAGAAGCTTCCAAAAATCCAGAAAACTAAAAGCATCAAATTCGAGTCAACATATGCCTCAGCCTTATGTTTATCTCCCCACAATTTTACAGTAGCGTCATATAGAAGATTTACATTCGCTGTCCAAGTATGTCTAGAGTGACCCGTAAGTATGAATCAAAACAAGAGTCGAGAACTAAGACTTAGTAATTTTAAACTCAGTTGGGTCAAGCCTTAACAAATGTAAAAGATCAAGAGTTTCAAATTAGTGACTGAAGGAGACTAAGACGATCTGTTGACCAAAACATCGCCACAACAGTCTGTGATATTGGCCGAAAAACTTGAAGACCAAACAGGCCACACTTTCAATGGTATTGAAAGCATTGTTGCCTAAAACATATCTTTTCACTGAAAAGCCACGATCACCATATGAAAGGATGGTTTATATTTCACAAAATAAGCTGATAGTATGGCTTAATGAGGGCCCAAACTTCAAGTCAGGCACCACTGGCTAGTCTTCTTGTTTTGTAGAGAGCCCTCAAATTTGGTCTGGTGGATTGACACTTAAGTATAGCCTTGAACTACGGCTGGAAAGTTGATGGTGATAGTTTAAATAAGATCTTCTTGGCAGTTTATTTTGAAAAGACAATCCGATTTGTGGATTCCTGGGGGCATTGATTTAATTTACATTCCGGTTTTATCGGGATTCTCGGCAGCCATACGTTGGATTAAATTTCCTTATACCTTAATGGAACTGAAAATCAAAAATGCAAAAGAAAACAACAAAATAAAATTCGAGAAAACATTAAATAACCAAGAACAGCTCGTAGATACATACCACGTGTCTTTCTTTTTTTTTTGGTAGATTCGTTTGATTAAAGGGGCAAAACTATATAAATAATATATACAAAAAACTTTAAAACAGCTCCCAGCTACGCACCAAGTGTCTTAGCTCGGCCCGTCCCCTTCCGTTAGTCATAAATTTATATATAAATAAGCGCGGGCAGTCCTTCTGCGCCAGGCAAAGTGTGAGGATTTTTCTTTACACACAGAGAAAAAAACTGAGAAACATTTAGCAAAGTACTTTCCAACAACTTTATTTGAAATGTTAAAGCACACTGTTAATATATCTGTTTAGCATTTTCACAAAACATCAATTGGTTTCGTGGTCTAGTTGGTTATGGCATCTGCTTAACACGCAGAACGTCCCCAGTTCGATCCTGGGCGAAATCAATTATTTTTTTGGAAGCAGTTTATCAGCACTAATGTATTGTGCCTATATTCCTGTGGTTCATTTAAATATTGTATTGCCTTTAGGCTTCATTTCTTATACAATTTCGGACATAAAAGTATTAAAACGTGATCAAAATTGTACAGAATAGTGTCTGATCAAAATGATTGTTTGTCTAAGACATGAACGACTATCTTTTTTTGTTTAGTAGATTCAATTCACGGATCGTTTTTTCGGCCCAAGCGTTCAAAATTTTCAGATTGTGGAAATGACACCTGCGATGAAAAAGGTATCGTCAGAATTCATTACTCTGACATAACGATTTTGCAAGAGACTCAT